TAAATACAGTGTCCTGGGGTTGGGTACCTGGAACATGAGGGCAGTCTAGCTGGCTGTAAGATTGCGATTTATGTGTCTGCCATATATCATGTTGGATTTCAAAGGCCATTTACCAAGGCTGGCTTCATTTTCCTTAAACATGAACCCCACTTTCTCTTCTTTCTCTTTCTTACCTCCTTTATTTTACATCTTCCAACTCCTCCAGTAGTTGGAGGTATTAGGGGTATTATAGTCTCAGTATCAGTGGAAAACTTGCTTTGTCCTATAATACGGCTATCCTCAGCACCAGGACAGGATGTCTGTACTGTTGTAAAGCTGATGGTTTGGCGATGAGCCATGAGAAGATGATGTGCCAACAAGAAACGGAAAATTCATAGCAAAATCAATAATCAAAAACTCCCCCAAATTCTCACTATCCTTTCATTATAGCTAAGCAACAGTTTTTCTTTGTCCCTGCAACCTTCAAATCCCCAGGTATTCTTTTTTCAAATATTTCTGAATCAGGGCCTGGAGTTCCAACCAAAGGAGTAGCAAATGAAATTGAGAAGTCAATGGTGAGTATGTGTATCAAGTAAGCAATAACAATAATGTTCCACAATCCATGGTTTTCAGTAGCATTTCATGGCTGGGGGGAGGAGCATGAAACTGCAGCACTAGCATGTGAAGCTATTTTTAAAGAGAGATAGTCATCATAGAATCATAGAATGGTTTGGGTGGGAAGGGACCTTTAAGGTGATGTAGTTCCAACCCCCTGCTATAGGCAGGCATAGCTCCCTCTAGTCCAGGCTGCTCACAGCCCCATCCAGCCTGGCCATGAGTGCCTCCGGGGTGGGGACATTCACAGCCTCTCTGTTCCAGCGTCTCACCACCTTCACAGTAAAGAATTTCTTCCTAACATCTAGTCTAGATCTACCTACTTCCAGTTTAAAGCCATTTATTTCATAGGAAAGTTCTATTTTTTGAAGGGTAGCGTATGTGGCGAGATAAACAGGGTAGAAGTTCCATATGTGGGTATTTCTTACTACTTATTTGCAATAGAAGTGGAATTTTTCACCTTATACATATGCAGGGTCTTGCCCTGAGAACCCCCAGAACCAGAGTTCAGCTGTGTCTGGCTGGGTTCCTTTGAGATAGCCAGATGAGCCCCTTCTTGTCGATGGAAACCACACAAGAGTGCAGGTTCATCCCAAATTATTGCAAGGTCTGTTCTTCTGTTTTACAAGGCACAAGTGACAGTTGTTTCAAAGCAAGCAAGGAAACGTCCCATTAGTCTGCCTTGTTTCTCTGTGCACTGAGTGGGAGTGCTTTACCTGACTGTGTTGGTCCCAGAAGCGTTCAGTAGCATTGAAAATTATGGCCTGAGAGATTCCATATAACACTTGAAGGTATAATTGTGTTCAGCTTGATTGATCCTGCATGCTAATTAGTAGTGCAGCCAGTTTGCAAGATAAGGGAGACCTTTGTGAATGCCTGTAAGAATTTGTCTTCTCCCCCACTTTCACGTGTCGTGGCAGGGACTTGAAGGTTCCTATTTTGCAGTGATCTGTTGAGCAACCATCACAAGCAAATGGTCACGTTTAGCCACGATCCTCAGGGACCGATTTGCCAGAACTTGCCAATACATTTTGATTTCCCTGCTGATCAAGGAGGAATGGAGGAGAGAAGAGGCAGCCCAACCCGGAGCAACATCTGCTGCAGAGTAAATTACGTTCCCACTTGGCCTCACAGTCTGAGCTGTTTATCCTGTGTTAGGCTAAGCTGTGCTTTTATGCTTTTATGCTGATCATGCATAGAAACTAAAAGTAAGTCAAGAGACCGGACTTACCATTTCTTTCTCAGGTTTGGTACTGGATTTGAACATTTCCAGTTCTGGACTGTGGTCAGAAGCAGGGCACGTGAGGTCCTCAAGGAGTTGTTTGTTTCTCCTTTCGATTTAGAGCCTGAAATACCATTTGTTTAATGTTGCTGTTTAAATAATGATTTGTAAGGCTCTAAGCCAGCCATGGTACAGCTTAATGACTGCTGTAATTTATGGATGCCCCTGACTACATACATAAACATTGCTGTAAATATAAAGGATGTCTCCCACAAATTTTCCATTGATACTCATTTGATACAGTTCATTTTCCTCTCCTTGAACATCTTCTGTATATGAGTTGAGACCTCCTGATTTAGTGATGAAGGTCCTTCTGGCTCCGCTGGCCAGAAATGATTGGGGCTGGGAAATGAAAAATCAGATCAAATGTCTGTTACAAAATATTTTAATTGAAAATCAAGTTTCCTTGAACTTGGACACAGACACCTCTATAAAGTGGCCTTGTAAAAGGGTCACTTGTACTTGGGCTTTTTTTGATTAGCTGTCTTACGACTTAATCTTCAGTTCATTTTGCTTTTGTGCACATTGTAAGGAAGTAAATGGGAGACAGAAAAACATCATGCACTGTCACAGAGCCCAGCCATTCCTTCAGCTGCAGCTTTGCTATTTGTGATCTCTAAGCTACACCAGGAGCATGTATATGTGCATCTAATGCAAATTCAAGCCAATTCAAGTGCCATCTCTGCAGAGATGAATAAGCATGCAAATCTGCTGTTTTGTTTTGGAGGACAAGCTCCTGGAATTATTTAATGCCTAGTTGTAACTGATGGCTTTTAGTATCGCAGTCAGTTGACTTCAAGAGATTTGTGATTTTGGGGGCTACAACAAAGACATCTGGGAAGATAGTAGGTGCTCTTGAATGCCTTGGTTCCATTAAAATTAGTGTTAATGCACTCGTGCTTGGAAAACTGAGTGCCTTTACAAAGTTGTAACGAGTTGAGTGAATAGAACAACTCTACTGCTTACAGCAGCCTCTGCTCTGAATGTCTGCATGTGACCTTGAAATGCAACAGTTTCTGGGCTAAAGCATAGACAGTATTGAAAATGTTGCAGAAAGTCATATGGGATATGAGAACTGGTAATAAATGTGGAAGTTTCTTCAAAGGCATACATGGGGTAATTCAGAGGCAAAAATACTTCTGAATTTAACTAGGACTTCAACGTTTTCAAGAACATCCTGATATTTCTAACCTTATGGAAGTTCTCTGCTTAAGTTTTCATTAGTTGGTGCCTGAAGCAACATGATGCTCCATGGGTTTGGTGCATGCCCCGTGGAAAAAGGATCATTTACTAAGGTACCGGAGCCACTTCTTACAGCTTTGTGGGCATCTATTTGCACACTGAGACTGGTTTGAGACAAGCAAAGAGCTTTGCTTCTAACATAGTAAAGTCATTTGATAGTCTCGAAGAGTGCATTTTTGCAAAGAGCATTGCAAGTGCAAGGAGGGTATCTTCTCTTTGCCATAAAGCTTTATAAAGGGACCCAAAGAAACTGTCAGCAACCAGCTGAGTTGTGTTGGTCTTTTTTTTTTTTTTTTCTGCAAAACTCTCCTCTGTAGTCATGCCTTGACCCTGACTGAAATACGAGGGCACTGTGCAGCTTGAATGCAGCAAGCCAGAATGACTCTAAGGCAGTCCAGAAAATTGAGCTGACAGTAACGCAGATCACCCTTTTCAGGAGCCCGGGTCCTTTATTAAAAAGGTTTGACATGTATTCCCCCCACTCCTGAATTGATTTGCACCATAAAATAAGCTTGAAGAGAAGTAGTGGTTGTTTTCCTACATGCTTCATTAATTTTAATTTTGGCAGGCAATATAAATAAAAGTATCAAGTGCAGATCTAATTGAATCACCAATGATTCCCAGCTCCCTGTAGTACCAGAGAACATGATGTAGCTGCTCTGTTTAGCAAGCATGGATGAGTTAGGCAAACAATGGCTCATTCTGCCCAGAGGCTTTGGTTTAATCTTTAGTACTTACCCATTTAATATGAGACAGGGCAGGAGTTTTTGCAGTGGGGGATTCACAGCACAGACCTCTTTATCCTTATAGACTTGTCTGTGCAGACTGTCAGCAAGGTTTCAGTGCATTGGGTCTGCCCCCAGATTTTTGTGGAATGGACTCTTGCACTTAGCAAGCTTGGCCTCCTCCATACATACTAACTGAAGGCTGTTTCTGAGCTAATTCCTACTTTCCATATGTAACTGATCGTTAAAATTAAGTAGTCTAGTCAGTCCTTGCCCCATGTACTTTAGCCATAATGAAGGGATTCAGATTGAGGGCAGTCTTACTTCGCTCACATTGAATGGTCTCTGATTACTCAACTGACAGGAAATCAAGAGCCTCCAGAAAAGGGCTGTGCCAAGAGACGAGTTCTCCAGATCATTTCTGGATGGATGGTATGAACTTCTAATAGTATTTTTCAGTAGCTGCGTGTCACAACCGATGGCTCCTTTCCATGTTGCTAGCTGCCTTTTGCTGCTTGGCATAGGGAAAATGAATTGGTGATTTTTATATCTTAATAGATGTAGACTGCAGCAGGACTCCACGATTCATGGGGACAGGAATACAGAAGCAGAAAGGGATCTAAAAGAGAAAGAAAACTACCAAGAGAGGTCAAACTGTTTTCTTTTTTGCAGAAAGGATATGAGGATGTGATACACCCAAGTCATAGGTAATACACGTTTTCAGGAGTGTGATGAAAGCTTATGTTCTTTCCAGGCAGTGTAGATGTTATTCCTGAACTAGAGAGAGCATGTCAGTCTTCAGGACCATCAGTCTAGCAGCGATTTGCGCACAATTAAAAATCCATCATGCATATCATGTTGTTCTTGATAAGTAACACAGAGCAGATTGTAGGATTTCAACCCTGTTTTCAAGGTTCAAAGCTGCCTTCCAAGTTAAAATGACAGACATGCCTGGGAATCTTAGTTCTGCATTAGGTGGACTATTTGGTGTTTGGAAGTATCTGGACAAACAAAACAAAACTACTACTTTATCAGGTAACTATTGGACTAAGGGATTTTATAACATCTTTCTCCCCTTCATTGTTATCCATGGCCGTGTTGGATGGGGAGAAGGCAATTCAGTAACCCGAAGTGGCTTTTATTTTCTTTTTCTCTAGGAGCTGCTTCTGTCTCAAAAATGGCTCTGGAAGGTTCCTTCAGCTGCTGGAACGGCACATCAATCAGGCTGGGCCAGGCATGTGACTTCATCAGAGACTGCACTGACGGAGAAGACGAGGGAGCAATGTGCAGTGAGTAAATCCAAACCCCCAGGCTGTCCTCCTTTTCCTTCTGGGAGGTGGAAGCTGAGCAGCTCCTTCTAAAAGCATAAATTATTTTGAATTTTAATGCCTGAGATTTCAGTAGTAATTAATTCAGTACTGTCAGAAGACCAATGTCTTCCATTATACGTGCACTTTCTCTAGATATCAGCCTAGAGTGGACCACTTGATATGTTTCTGTACTAGCCTTCTTTAGTTCTGCAGCAGGTTTTTAAGCTGCTCCTACTGCCTCATCTAACAAAATCCTGATCAAAAATGCAAAGAGAGTATAGCTTAAATAGCTAGATGCTTTACAGAATTATGAAATATGTGGTTTGTTGGTGCTTTTAATCAAAACATGGTACAGCATGTAGCAGAAGGTGGAAGAAGCAGAGGAATTCTAAGGTATGAAAAGTGAGTAGAGCCAGGAGCTTGTCTTAGACCAACTCCTACTCTTGTGTCTTTTTCATTACTCTCATTTTCTGTCCTTTCTTCAGCAGTCTTCAGTGCTTTATCTTTGTCAGTCTGTAGATCAGGAGTTAGATAGCAATTTGAGTTTTCTGGAAACTTTACGTGCCTAAATATTTCTGTAATTGTGTTACTTTAGATATTTTATAGCATTTCTTCAACCATCTTCGAAATGTGTTGTCTTTTTTTTTTAATATATACTTTTATCTTTTCTGCCTCTATTGTATCTCCTTTTGTCAGTCTACAAATACTGAGGAGTAATGGTTTGTTGTATTCGCTAGTAGGTTTAGCCTATGGACTCCTATTGACAGGACTGGTTTAGTATGCAAAATTGCATTCTCTGGCCAAAATAGCTGTACTGCCAAAAGCCTTTGGAATAGAACAATTACTCTCAGTTTAGTTTTCATACGTGACATCTAGAGCAGGGGTCAACCTTGGTGAAGTAACTCAAACAAACTGTGGGTATGGGTGACATCTAGACTAAAAGACCTTTTAGCATAAACTTAACACAGCAGTGATACACAACTCCTAGCAAATTGCACACTTCAGTTCTTTGCTGCTAACAAAGAAATAACGTAACAGATAGCATTGGTGTGGAGAACAGTGGTTTGGCCTGGGACCATCTAGGTTAAAATTAGTTAAAAGCTTGAAGTGATAGGACCCTACTTTGTGTCGTGAATTGTTATAATTTGAAATATTTGTTGACTCATTCGGAGTGAGTATTAAATTCACTTCCATAGAAATAGTGATGTTGCTGCTGACCTGTAGCTGCTCAGAACCAAGAATGCTTCATATTACTGGTATCAAAACCTTCCTTTCACCTAAGAGCCTTAAAACAGAGCTCTGAAACAGGATTACAGAATGGTTAAGGTTAGAAGAGACTTCTGCATCCCTCTGATCCAACCCCTGCTTGAGCAGAGCCACCCAGAGCTGGTTGTCCCAATCCATGTCCTTTTGAATAAGGAAATTTCACAACGTCTGTGGGTAACCTGTGCCAGCGTTCCATCATCTGCACAGCACAGAAGTGCTTTCTGATTTAGATAGAACTTCCTGTGTTCCAGCTTGTCCTCACTACCTCTTGTCCCAGCACTGGGCACCATTGAAGAGCCCTGTCTCCTTCTTCGCAGCCTGCCTTCAGGGATTTATAGACATTGATAAGATCCTCCCTTAACCTCTTCTTCTCCAGACTGAACATCCCAACTTTCTCAGCCTCTCCTTGCAGGAGAGGTGATCCAGCACTTTAATCATTTTGATACTCAGATCTGATAATGATATTTCTATTTTCTACACTTAAATTGAAAATCCTTACAAAATTATAATAGTCGTAGAATTATAACTATAATTAGACTTGAAGATCATCTAGTTCCAATGAGTAATGGGTAGGTATAATGCATTTTCATGTCATTGGAAGTAGAGAGACATACTACTTACTCTTATTTAACGTGGATTGGTTATATGTCCAGATAGACTGTTATATTCTTAAATGGTTCTGCCTTGTGAGAGTAATCCTATCCATATCAGTGGGAACAGTAGAGCTCCTTCTGTGGAGTTGTGCAAGTCATGGATGCAGACTAAATACCATCATAGCATAGGGCAGACTTAAAGGAACGTGACTCGACTTTTGCTATTCATGAGAATTTGTTCAGCTGCCTTTTAGCCACCATTCATCCATAGCTACTAGCATAAAGCAGTGTAATACATTTATGTCAACATAAAAGTTTCTCAAAATTTTTAGATTTACTGAAAATACAGAAAAGGTAAGAAGTGGAAGATATCTAACCACCTATTTAGCAGAACAGTCCCCAGCTTGAGAAGACCTCACAGCTTTTTTTCAACCCCAGGTGCTGGCAGAGAAACACATTGCTCCCAGACAAAAGGCCTAAAAGACACCATTTTCCACTACAAGCAACAAAAAAGAAAGGCTTGCAAGAGCTTGGGTTGTGCTCACACATTTAAAACCTTGGTTTTGTTGCTGATTGCTCTGCTTCTGTCTGTTGTGTTGAATGTAATCATAGAATGCCAGGGATTGGAAGGGACCTGGAAAGACCATCTAGTCCAATCCTCCTGCTGAAGCAGGAACACCTAAGTTTTATTGCCATAAAACTTCTTACACAAAACAGAAACATGATCAAATGTTTTAGATTGTTTAGATGAGTTACACCTGCATGTCAGCCCAACACAAAATGTTGGTATCATCTTTCAGCATTACAGTTGTTGCTTTAGTCCTGAATAACATGGATATTTTCATCAGCTTTCTGCAGGTGTGGCAAGAAGTGGTTTGACATATAGAGCAGGGAAAGGGGTTTCCTGAGAACTTCTGCTTACAAGAAAGAGCTGTCAGAAAAATGTGTAGCCATGCATGCGGCTGAAAAGGGAGCTTTTCAAATTACCCTTAAACAAAGGCTTCCAACTCTGAGCTTCAAGATTGTTCTTAGTTGTTTTTTTTTTCCTTTCACAGTCTTTTAGCTGCTTGGAATAATTCTTTTTTCCATTTCCTCTTTCTTTTTTTTTTTTTTCTTGTCATCTTATCATTTGATTCTTATTCCTTTCTTAACTGGAAAAAGCTCCCTAAACCTGCTATTTGTTAACATCCCTTTAATTATCAGTGGCCAATGAAAAGTCATGGTGCTTGTTCTGCAAGCAACCAATTAGTCTTTGTAGAAAGCATAAAATCAGACAGGGATGACCCCTGGAGAAAAGCATGTTGCTGTGTTGCTGTTTGAGTCATAATCAAATAAGCTCACAGGGGGAAAAGACAGCTTCAAAGAGGCAGATGTAGAGATAGATGCTGAACCATGTTGATTTGGGATCAGAGTTACGGATCTAACAGACTGATAGAAATGCCCCTCTAGAGATTATTTTGCAGAAGCATACTTTGCAGATGTATGTTAAGACTTCAGATAATGGTGGCCTTATATCTTTGCTAGTAAATTCCTGATTATGAATTGTAACTTACTGAAAGAAAAAGAAAAAAGAGAAAAAACGAAGAGAGAAATTCTTTACTAATACAGATTGGCAGAGCTCTTCCTCTACCAAAGAAGAGAATTTGTTTTAGTTTTGTATTTCTCTTATTAGGTAACAATATTTTGGATTTTGGTTCAAGGATCTTTTGTTGAGGGCAGTAAGCCTAGAGAAGAAAAGTTCTACTGAAACAAAAGTGCATACACTTTTGTTTAGTCCAAAACTATGATAGAATCATAGAGGTTGGAAAAGACCTCCAAGATCATCCAATCCAAGCGTCCACCTACCATCAATATTACCCCACTAAACCACGTCCCTTGAACACCTCTAGGGTCAGTGACTTTGTTAGTTTCTGGGTCAGGTTCCGTAGAAACATTCAGCTTGGGAAAATATTGGTTGATCAGGCAGAGCATGTAGGAAATTTGTGGATGTATTTTTTAAAAATATATCATGAAAATGGAAGTGTTGGTAGTACGTTTATTATCTGGAGAACTTAAGGGATTCACTCAGGATGTGACAAACCCAGGACTGATTCTTTCTTCTGACTGAATGAATTTGAACCCATATTTATGATTTCCATTGAAGTTTCCAAAGCAGTGTGGTCTGGAATATATGGTTTGGAAGATAAAGCATTATTCAGTCTCTCCTGGTCTTGTTCCTCCACACTATATAAACATTACCTGCAAGAAGGATTGAGAGTAATATCCTCTGCCTTGCACATGAATTGCATAACCACTGGGTTATACAGTAATTTTCACTCTTTGCCTCACTGAATGTTTAAGAATGTTAAACAAATTGGATTAATGCTAGCAGATGAGGTAAGAAAGACTAGGATCTGGTTCACGTTAGGAATGACTCAAACTATTCTGTGTAGTGAGATAAGTGCATACGCACAGCTGTCAAGTCAGATGAGAAGCAGAATAGGAACCTGTAAAGTTTGAATTTGAGATAGCACAAGCAATTGGCAGGAAAAAAAAAAAAAAAAAAAGTACAGATAAATAATTCTAGAGGAACCAGTTTACTTTCCAGGCCAAAAAAAAAAACAAAACAGTGGATTCATATATGTCTTACAGATAGATAGAGGCAGCAGAATCCCTCGGTGAACCAAATGAAAAAACAGCCTGGTGCATTGCAGTCCTCTTAAGGTTCCTGTCTTGCATACTCACATCCTTTTGTTCCTTTCTTGATCAGAAGCTGCAACTCTAGCAGTGAATTTTAATTTCTGGCAGTTCTCAACTTAGCAATGCTTTCCATCATTAAAGGAAAACTCTTGTTGACTGTATTGAAATGTATTTTTCCTTTCTCTTCTTCATTTCTGATAGAATTTGGTAGACAACTGTGGTAGCACAGAGACAGCCATTGAAAACAAGCTCACATTTAAGATTCATGTGCTTCTTTAAACTTTTTGAGTAGATGCCTTCTGAGATTTTCTCCTACATTTGGGGAAGGTCAGTACAAAAAAAGAATAATCTTTTTTTGTTTTTGTCCTTTATAATACAGGTCTGGAACTTCACTCAAAACTTTAAACTGTAGTAGCCCCTTATTGATTTGCACCTGGTTTTGAGTCAAGAGCCAGCCAATAATGAACCTGCTCCATCTGCTTCATAAATTATTCCAGTTGCTAGTTTGGTTTTCTGCTGTTAAAGGATGAAAAAAAATTGAGGTAAAGGTGGTTGTTGTTGGTTTTGTTTTTTTAAAACAAACAAAGCCACTTGAGTTTAACTACCTCTCAGGCAAAATCATTCAGAAGGCTTGAAGATACTTGGTTAAAAAAATGTTTAACACTCTTCAGCATCTCTGTTTCTCAAAGAAAAGCAGAGACTTGCATTCTCACAGTACTTTAGTCTTGATTGGATTACTTTATTCTCTGTCCCAAATCCATAAGCTGCCTCTTGATTTTAGGGAGTTCTAAACCTTTTGAAGTTTCTTTCACCAGTTGATAATACCCAACATGACCTACTGTTTCAGTAGGCATAATGACTGCTCCATTTCACTTGTTTTTACAATAAAATCAGGTTAGCTTTCCTTCATCAGTGCAGTGTGAACATTAATGTGGGTTAGAAGTATAAGCACTCAGAACATTGAGAAGTAGATGGTGACAGAGGAGTGCTAGCCAAAGTGCACTCTGTGAAGCAGCTAGACATGCAGCACTTACAATTCCATGTATTTGAAGTAAGAAAGAGCAGCAAAGCACATTGCACCGGTGCACAAGACATCTGAAAATTCATGAAAGATTAATTTGTGGAGGAGCAATCAAATTTCTGGGGAAGTAATAGCTTCTTATTTATACCCTTACTTGTTCATCTACAGAGAGCTTTTTCTGGCTTCCAGGCAGGGATTACTACTTAGACTCCTCCTGCTGCTCTGACTTCTTTACATCAACCTAGATAATGTAGGGCTGTGAAATGAATTCAGCTGGACACCAAGCCAAGCTGTTTCAGTAGGAATTCAGGACACATCATAATTTGTCAATTTCTTTGGATCTCAGCCTCAGGCAGCACAATGCAATATAATCAAATTCTGTAGAGGGGTAAAGCACAGGGAAGCAACTTTCAGCTTAACAGCTCCACACTTAAAGACTAGGCTGAATGAACTGGGAGATGTTTTTTTAAAGGAGAGACTTGAAAACCTCAACTCTCAGTTTTTGATCTTTTCATAACAAATTTGGGCGATAACTGCAAGACGAGGGGAAATGGTTTTAAGTTGAGGGAGGGGAGATTTAGGTTGGATGTCAGGGGGAAATTCTTTACAGAGAGAGTGATGAGGTGCTGGAACAGCTGCCCAGAGAGGTTGTGGATGCCCCGTCCCTGGAGGTGTTCAAGGTCAGATTGGATGGGGCTGTGGACAGCCTGGTTGGTGGCCCTGCCTGTGGCAGGGGGGTTGGAGATTCATGATCCTTGAGGTCCCTTCCAACCCTGGCCATTCTGTGATTCTGTGATTGTGACTGTGGGAAATAAAAACAGTAAAATATACCTCACCTGTATGTCAGGTTCTGGGTTCAAATTTGGACCTACTAAAAAGCCATAGATGAAAGATTTGTTTCAGTCACCTTTGTGAAGCGAGCTGTGATTCAGGATCCTAGAAGTATTCTTGGTCTACACAATGCAGTTCTGTTCCCCAGCTCTGTTCTCAGGGCAGGCCAGGAGGGAAATGAATGTGTCGCTGACAGTGAATTGCCTATTGAGGTATGTACTTGCAGTCCACAAAGCTAATTGTATCCTGGGCTGCTTCAAAAGAAGTGCAGAAAGTTGAGGGATATGTTTCTCCTTCTACTCTGCATCCATGAGAACACACCTGCAGTGCTATGTTCAGCTCTGGAACTCGCAGCACAAGAAGGGTGCAGAGCTGTTGGAGCGGGTCCAGAGGAGGCTGCAAAGATGCTCAGAGGGCTGGAGCATCTCTCCTATGGAGACATGCTGAGAGAGCTGGGCTTGTTCAGCCTGGAGAAGAGACCTTCCAGTACTTAGAAGGGGCTAACAGGAAAGGTGAGGAGGGATTCTTTATGAGGGAATATAGAGGCAGGACAAGAGATAACGGTTTAGGCTAAACGTTTGGAGGAAATTTTTTACTGAGAGGTTGGTGAGGCCCTGGCACTGCTGCCCAGAGCTGTAGTGCCCCATCCCTGGAGGTGCCCAAGGCCAGGTTGGATGGGCCCTGGGCAGCCTGAGCTGGTGGGGGGCAGCCCTGCCCACAGTAGGGGTTGGGGCTGGGTGGGCTTTAGGGCCCCTTTCAACCCAAGCCATCCTGTTATTCTATGTATAAATGAGAGCTGAAGCCCTGTGAAGAGATGTTTGATTGAACTGCAATCTCAGACAAGGAATTCTGATCATATTTAAACATTTTAAATTATCTGGGGTGTGGATACTGATTCCCACTTTATAGACAGAAAGTTTTAGAGGGGAAAATTCTTCACGTACGTGAGTTCAGGAGTCTCTTCTTCTCATAGGGAAGCTAATGAAATTCCTGGTATCACCTCACCAGCGGATTCTCTTGCTTTAGGAGCTTGTAGTTTATCCTACTTTTTGTAAGTCAAGAATTTTTTACTCTGACTTTGACAAACAGTTGAAAGGAAAAACTAATTTCCCGGATATGTGGTTTTATAATGTGTTTACACATCAAATTTATTTTTATCTGGCAATTTCAAACAGACTTCTGGTCTCATTTTCTTTCCTTTCAAAAATAAAAAAAAATAAAAAAAAAACAACAAAGACAGTTTTAGGAGATCTTTAGGGGTACAGGGACGGAGAAATAAATATAAGCTAAACTGCTAGCACAGATTTGAGTACATAACTGTAAAAGCTGTGAGAAGTCTGGAATGTCATCCTCCCTTTTATAGCTACATCTGAACATCCTAGCACTTTTTCTACCTTACTGGAAGGAAGAACAGACCCACTGAGCACCTGTGTTCAGGGGCTTTGTACTGCCACACCCTAGGACTGGTTTGTCTATATTGAAGGATAAAAGCAGTCATCACTCTTCTTTGCTTCTATTCTGGCATCTTTGGTGCGTAATGGAACTCCATATTTAAAGTGCACCTTTTTTTCCCAGGTTAGCTTTTCCCATAAAAGAAAGTTTGTGCCCTTTTTACTGGTGGGAAGCTTCCCCATACCTGGCAGCATTGTCAGCTACACCCTGGGCCCAAAATCTGTATTATAGATGATGAGTTATTCACTGGAAGTGAAAAGCATGTTATAATGCAGGTGATTTTTACATGACATTTTACAAGGCTCGTTTTCTCTGAGGTTACTTAATAAGATCAGAATCTGCCATTGTGCTGAAGAAGAGAAATGCAAAGGTAGAACCTATCATCACTAGAAATTAGGCAATGTGTTTTTATTAAAGATGATGGGAAATGTGATTTTATAAATTTTCAAATTGAGTGAATTGTGGCACAATGGAGCATTTTTACCTGTGGCAGTGTAAGTGTATGGCTCAGATGTGCTTTACACATTCTGTAAGAATCTGCAGTATGGACAAAGGAGATGATGAAGGTATGCAGACATGTGCTGCTTTGAATGTGATGATTATTACTTTAAAACTTTAATTTAAAGGCAAAAAGCTAACGTGTCTTTATTGTTTGGAGCTGGAAACCTGCCTGAAATCCAAAGCCAGTGACAGAATGAGTGGGCTTCAAATCCTGAAAGTATGGCTTAAAATAAACTATTTTCTTCCATTCACCCCACCAAACAGATCCACAGATGCAGAAACTGAAGCACAGAAGGGTTTAGTGCTTTATCTGAGACCTCATTAGAGGGACTTCTCACAAAGGGGAGAAGTCTCACAGTGCTGAGCTTGGCTGGCTACAGGCATGAAGAGGGAAGCACGTTAGTAATTATCACTGTCCATGACTTCCCCAGCAGTAGAGGCCAGATAAATACCTGAATGCCCCATGATGCATACTGAAATATATCATCTTCCTTCAGTTTGTCTGGAGGGAGGCACTTAATCACAGTCCTGGGCTTGCCTCCCTTACCACTGTCTCTATGGTCAAGCACATGCATGACTCCACACAAAAAGCAGCTGTGGAGTTGTCTGCATGTCCTGGGCAGCTCTGTAAAAATAGTCAGCTTCTGTGTGTGCCTAGGAGTCTTATCCACAGCTCATCTGTGTTCTTCTCTATGTGTGTTTCTCTCCATCTTGCAGGAAAACTTCCTCCTGGCTTTTACTGCTCATTTGAAGAAGGGGACTGTGGCTGGCTGGAGGGCTCATCAGTGTCCCATGCTTCTCCATGGCGAATTGGGAGCCTGGAGTACAACCATTTTCCTTCAGTAGAAGGTATGTAAAAGTAAATAGTGCAGAAAGCAGACAGCAAAAAAAGATAAGCAAATGGTGGGGAGGTTTCTTGTGTACTTACAGATTCAGCCTTCAGTGAAACAAAAACATCTTTCTGCTATCTGTGCTTTGAGCAGGACTATCCTGCTCACTTCCCGTCTTTAGGAAGAGGCTAGTTAGTATCTCAGGTTTCCTAGGCTGACCACAGAGAGTAGTTCTGCCTCCCTGTAGACAACTTCTCATGAAGCATTCATCTGCGTGGCCCTCCACCACACTGAACTGTTTTTTATTTCTGATTTACTTTTTCTGTGTCTGTTTTGCTTCTTTTTTTCCTTCATGCTTTCAGATTTTCCTTCTCTTTGCTTTCTTGTCCCTTGAGTTCCACTTATGTATGTGCATATATATATGTATATGTAAAAAACTACTGCGTACTTGCTTTCTCTACCCAAATCCCAGGATTCCTACTCCTTCTTATACAAACTATTGAAGGTTTATACCCTGGACACTGAACTACTGCTGGTTGAGTTTTGGTATGCAGGCTGCCTGGCATGATAAGACTTTTCCTAATGCAATAATGTAAATCATTGAAAGCATTTATTGTTGAGTCACAGAGGATCTTAATAGGATGCAATAACAGCAGAGTTAATGGTGTATAATCCCAACATTGGTTTACAAAGTTACATCCATTGTTAAACATAAAGAGTGAGATTCTCTACTTTCCAGTGAACTGATACAGACTACAGTGCAGCTATTCTGATTTATGCCAGCTGATGGCTCAGCCCACAGTACTGCAAACCACGAATGAATTGAAGCATAGGTAAACAAGAAATCAAAGGCCCAGAAAGAGGTTACTATGGAGAGATGGCAAAGAAATGATGATGATTCATGATCTATCTATGCTGTAGAGGCAATTTCATTGTAAGCTCAAATAACTAAGATCCAGGTAGTGGTACCTTCCTGAACTGCAGGGCAGAACTGAAATATTGCCATATATACTTTTTGGTCTAGAGCTGTCAAGGAAGAACTCTAATGTTACTACTGCCCTTGTTCCTCTGGTTAATACTAATGTTTAAGGTAGCAAAAGCAATTCAAGCTGCATTAATACTTCTCTCTTGTTATTTTGTTGCCATTGTTTGATTTGGTTTTGATGAAGATGAAGATTTGTTTTCAAATTTGTTTGTTTGGGGTTTTTTTTGTGTGTTGAAAAAGATGCTAAATCACCCTTGCAAGAAAGAGAAATTGGAAGTTGTGGAGGAATAGAAGATGACTGTAGGAGGAAAGTAGTTGGGCTGCCCAATGAGAATGTGAAGCTGCTTTCCTGTAAAATTGAAAAATGTATTTTCCTGTCTGACATCCTGCTGTAGTAGGAGCCAGCTTACATAGGCTTTAAGGACGTTTCTCAAGACCAGAAGGTGGTTTCTGCAGTTTGACTTTCTTCCTGCTCTTTTATCTAGATTATGCCCTGATCCTTGACACCAGCAAAGCACCAGCAGGAGCAAGCACTGTAATGACCAGCGCTACATTTCCAACCCCTTTGAGGAACTCCCCCTGTGAGGTAAGTCATAATGTTTTCTTTTCTTTCACACTTTAAAAAGCTTTTTACTATGCCTGGCTCTGGTTTTCAAATATAGGCACTAGATCAGTAGCCCAGAAGCCACTTTCTTTATGGTTTGTCTTTGAAACATCCTTACTTAATGTTCCAATATGTAATGAAAAGAGGTGGTTATCTTCTTGAATGCCACGAAATGTATTCTGAGAAACTTGGCGTGTCTTGCCCCGATTGTGTGATCCTACATGATGTAGCAACAGTTTTTGTAATTGGATTTATGAGCTAAGGTAGGACGACCAGCATTGCATAAATGCAAAGAGGAAGAGGCTGGCTGCTTTATATTTGCAAAATCCAAGAAAATCCACTCCGAAAATACACTGCATGCTTCTTCTAGCTCAGCTGAGATTCAAGCTGGCAGGCCTTCATCAAGTTGCACCTCAAAACTCCTCACGGAGGCCATGCTCTTAGGAGTGCCTGAGTTACCAGCAGTAGAGATAAATTCATACAGAACGAGCCAGATTCATACTCAAACAGAAAAACTGTTAATAGTCATAGTACGTTAACTTAAGCAAGTACATCAACATTTGTTAGATAATTGTGCACAAGTAGTTGTCATTTCTAAATCAGTTGTATTTAACCCTTAAACTTCTGGTTAGAGAAAGATATCATCTCTGTCTTTTTATCTGGTCTATAGCTTCACAGATTATATCATCACTGATTGTATTTGTGGCTTATGATTTTGAGTCACACATCTTGATTGCTCATCCTGAGCTTCTGGATCCTGGAGCAGGATTGCTTGGGGAAATTGATTCTTACCACAGACAAAAAAAATCAGACCTTTCTTCTTCCACTGATCTAAAAATGCAGAAAGAACAAGAAGGGATACATATGAAAATCCTCTGAAATTAAAATACTTGAGTGTTTCTTTTGCTTAAAGTTCGGTTCTCTTCTGTTGTGTATCTCAGTACGTACAGCAAAGCACATCTGTGTTTGCTCTCTTGATATATTAATGTCCTCCTTCTTTAGGAAATACATTCTACCTTGTTTTTCCTCCCTTCTGTGACAAAGGCATATGCAGGTTCTGAATATTTTAAGACCTTGTTCTGCTGTGGACCAGCAAGAGCAAGTGTTTTTCATCATCTACCTGACACAGGAAGCAGAGTGAATGATTTCCCAATATGTTTATATTTTTACCTTGTGTATACAACAGTGCAAATAATTAAACTTGCCATCAGGGGAGAAGCTGTCGTGTATTTCATCTGCTCACATGCCATCCCACCTCCGTCACTCCCCCTGGCACTTAAAAGGCATCCGGACACATCCAGCATTGCAGCTGTTGGTAATATAGAGTAAAGGAGTTTGGCAAGGGTTTTTGTCTCTTGTCTTTTCATATAGTGTAAAAGCTTCTCTTCTCAATGAGCCCCCGGTGGCTTCAAATTCTATTTTACTGGCGCAATCTTTCTGTGAGCAGAATAATTTGATTCCACTTTTCAACACAAGAGGAGAAAAGAGATACTCCCCCACGCACTTTTTCTTCCAATAGGTGCCAACAAGCTCCTGTGCAGTGAAGTAAAGGTCAGAAAAGAGGCTGTGAAAATACCGCAGTCCTATCCTGTATTTTTTTCACCCTCAATCACTTCCCAACTGAACTGACTCAAGGTCGGGCACTAAAAGAGGAGTTTTCTTCTTCCTGTCAGTGCTGACAGCTCCACCTGGCATATCACAAACAGGACAAGTTCTCTGGCAACTGAAATCCCACTGACAGAGTTCACTTGTGATTCGTGTGATAAAGGGATCTGAGCACATGTGTGCCGATTAGATCCATTTATTCTTCCAAAGTCAGATCAAGCCATAAACCTGCCCTCCCTCTTATATTTGATACAGCTTACATGCTCCTGTAGGTATGTGCCTGCTCTCCTCGCATGTTCACTTTCAGAGTTGTTAGTTCTGACAGCTTGTTTCAATCCATCCAGATAGATTTTCCTCAGATTCACAGGCGGCACCAACACATGTAAGTGATGGAGGCTTTCCTCAGGCTGGTCATTTCCTATCCCTCCTCCTTCTTGTGTCTGTCTATCCCAGTGTCAGCACAGCCAGCTCAGCTGAACTCCTGCTGGTGGGATTGAATGTACAGCCCCACTTGCACAGTTTGTTCACCTCCCTTGCGTGCATAGATCACACCTGCCTTGGGCACTTATGGCCTTACATGGAAAGTGTGAGAGCAGCAGTGAGGCCAGCAGATGTCCACAGTTTGCTGATTTTGACTCCCCTCTTCCCTTGCTACACAGGAGCACTAGCCTCACTGTTTCCTGAAGCTCCTATTTTTCCTCTTATCTCTTAATTTGCCTCTATTGTGTTGAGCTATGTTAGACAATTGCATTCACCATAACAAATGTTGACTTTTTAGCTTGAGTTGTACAGAGGAATTAATTGCTTTAACGTCATCACAAGGAGCATTCTCTGCTGCAGTAGCATTTACCATGCAGGGGGGCTCTATTATCTGGCCAAAATGTCCATGGAACCAGGACCCAATGCTGACAAGGAAACAGTCGAGCATTCTGTGGTGGTTACCAGCTACAAAGAGTCTGAGACGCAGTACCTACTGAGATTCTGGATGGGTGTTTGCAGCAGCAGTGACATAAAGCACTGAGAGATGCCAGATCCTGTATGATCTTTGGCTTAGGTGTTGCTGCTGAGTACAGGATAGGCACATCCCTTCATCTTAGTGTTCTACCACGATGTGCTTTCCTCTGCTTGAGCTCAGTCACTAGGAACATGCTGGGCTGCTTGTGTGCTGTACTCCTCTAGCATTTCCCGTGCCCTGCACAAGGCTTCTCTAACTCACAAAGGGAAAAATCAGCCTGATCTACTCTGTGCTGCCCCTCATGCATCAAAAGATGAGAACAGAGTAAAAATCCATGCAGGAGACAGAGTCATAAACATAGCCTGTACTTTCCCACACATTTGGGATTGGACCTAATGTGCCCTGCACTTTGTATATAGCTTCGTATTGCACTTCGCTCCTGTTTTTTTTGAGCAGCTTTATATTTTCATTTTTCTTTTTTCCGCAGTGCTTTTGGCAGGCCAGAGCTGTTAGTTTGTGATGCTGCCCTTTGTTCTTGGTTCAGTTAGTTTTTCTTTTTTGTTACTTTATTAGATCTTGGCTAGAGTATCCTGACTTCAAAGAATCTCCTTTGTTTGCTGTCCAGACAGTCTTTGTTATCTTTTTCATGCTGAACATTCAATGGAGCCCTTTGCCTTTTGACCCATTAACAGTGTATTTAATGCCCAGTTTAAATGCAAGAGAGAAACTGGCAATTCTAGTAAATCTTGGGAGGAAATGGTACATGTAGTTCACAAAGAGATGCTCTGAGGTGGCCAGCAAGGGTGAACACAATGAAAAAAAGAAACAGAAAACGATTCAGAAACCAGACTGAGACACAGTAGTAAAATGGAAAATATTTTTAACCCACATCTAAAAGTTCACCAGAAAGAAAAACATGTATTTGAGCACAGGAATGCACATAAACTCTGAAGAATTAATCCGATGTTGGCCTGATTTGAAGGCAAGTGTTATAAAGGTTGAACAATAGAGAAAAGTATTATTCTGCCTTTCTCTTCATCTTGTTGATTCCCCTCCTCAGAGTAGGAATTGGTTGGCCTGCACAGGGCTGTAAGAGCACAGGCTCACGGGATGGTTGGATGTTTCCTCATTTTAAAGAAGCAGTCCATGTGCCTGTCATCAGTAACTGCACTACAGTCTGGGAATTCAGGAAGCCACATTGCAATTCAAGTCCAAAGGAAGTGCTGTCATCTCAGATGCCACCCATGGCAAAACTAAATTACTTTGCCACAGCTGATATCCCTTAGGTGTACACAGTTTCCAGATTATAATGGCCACCTGCTTCTCAGTACTCATGTAAAGATGTCAGAGAGCTGACAAAAGAGTTTTGCAGATGTCAAGGGAGAACTTGCCCTTTATGTGGAAGTTATGAACTGCATTCTGGCCTCCCACATCTGGACAACGTGGCAGTCCCATCTCCCTCAGTCCCAGAATTGTTGTTGGGCAGATGCAGAGTCACTGCACTGACTTTGCTTTTTATTCCATTTTTCAGAGATGTTCTCCAACATCTGCAGCCTTATGCTTCAAAGGATGCTGTGGTGCTTGTTAATCATAAGTCATGCACTGTGTTTTCCCCAAGTGTTTGGGCTTCTGTCATAAAGAGATATAAGACCAGGCCTAAGACTACTGCATTTTTAAGGGCTTGGTGCAGTGTGTTCCTGGCTGGGCAGCAGGAGTTATAACCATTCTGAGAGATCTCATTTTGTGGTGGATCGTGACTATTACTGCTGCTTGAAAGTCACTGCAGCCACATGAGCAGCCTGGAAACTGTTTTTAGACAGGCTGCACTTTGCTCAGCGCAAGAGAATCTGATGGACCTCAGTGCCATACCTGAAAATTAAAACCTGGGCAAGAGGTGTTGGTGTGGGCTTATAGTACAGGAGGAGAATAACAATAGAGATGGTGTTTCCTGATTTGTGATGAACTTAAAATTAGCTTTAAATGTCATCATGCTCATAGAAGAGAAGCTCGCTCTTTGTAAGTGGGACTCCACTGTAATTGGTAACGAGATGATTTCATTTTCATTAGATCCTGCTTCAAACATTTTGAAGGATATGGCTGGGCTGCAAAACAATGAAAAGAGATCCCTGTAAAAGAGCTTTGTGCCTTTAGCCATGTTTAAAATAATGATTTTTTTTTTTTTCTGATGCAGTTTTGACATTTCAACTAGCTGTTTCATGTAAGCCTCCATTATACAGAAAGAGGTACCAAACTGAGCCAGACTTTTTTTTTTAACCTGAAATTACTTTTTGAATGTAAACCCGATCTCTCTAGAAGGTGAACGTAATATGTTGATGTAAAACAGCGTAGTTGAAGTTTGCCCTCTCATTTGGGTTATGAAAGATGGTTTCATGCTCTGTGGTTATTAACTCAGTTTTCTTTCCTATGCAAAAGCGTTGTATTTTTACAGCGTGTAAATCAATAATTGAAATAATTCCTTGAGCACATTCTGAGCCCCATGCTGGCAGCAGCAAGGCATGTCTCTTTTTCTCCTCTGTTCTTTGAGTTTTAAACAACTTAGAAGTGTACATGTTAATAACACTGATTCACAACATTTATGAGCATGAAGAAATGCAACATAGATATGCCTCTAGCGCATCCTTTCATGTGCTTTATTTTGCAAAATGTTGTTAGCATCCTTTTTGTTTTAAGTGCTGGTTTTAATATTTGTGATGTTCATATGCTGTTTCTGTTCTTACCAAAACTGATTCTTCTCTTGACACCTTGCTGTTGTGTCACTGAATGATGTATGAGATCTGAAATTTCTCAGAGGCCCAAAGTTTACCCAGGAGGGTATTTTACTTCTTTTGCATATACGGAAATAAGATGCAAGTTTTGCTTAGTTCTCAGATAGTTTTGGAGCTGTGTACGTGGTACCCTTATTGTTTCTCTTCACCTCTAAACCTGCCAAGCCCCGTTGATTTTGATGAAGACTAGTGGTCTTTCATGGATGAATAGTCTCCTGTTCTTCAGCTCAGATATTCCACAAACTCATAGGCTAAGAAGATTCTTACGAAAGCATCTTTACAGGTATTGTTTGCAGTACAGTGCATGTGGACACCTGACCAAAGTTTTGCTTCAACATGCTGTGTCTTAATAGTGGGTTCTCTCTCCCTCTAATTCTGTGCAAATCAGTGTAGGCTGTTTCATTTACAGAGTCAGTGAGTTTCACGTGAACGGCTAATCATCAGTCAAAATGGGTTCTAAAGCCAGAAAGCAAGGCAGTATTGAGCCAATGTCTACCTGCAGTGCTTAATTAATTTCTAAATGATGTTTCTGACTCTTTTGCTTCTGACTCTTTTGCTGCTGGTTTAACACAGAGTTTGATATGTAACGTTAGGGATATGCCACCAACAGCCCAAATTCAGATTTTTCTAAGCATTGCCCTACGCTATTTACAGGAACTCATAATGTATGTGGCACCACCTGCCATCACTGATGGTGTATTCTGTAGAATGAATGCCAGCCCCATTTGGAAGTCTTTACTATGGCATCCAGCTCATCATCTGCTCTGGTTCACTTCAGCAGGTGTGAAAAGACCTGGACTGCCCTGCTGTGATGCTTAGAAATGATAGAAAATGTGGCCAAAAATGCCCATTTGGACACAGTGACAGTCAATTCACTCGGAGCCAGTTCATTAGAGCCTGCACATTGCACTTTGCCAGCGAGCTGATCTCCCACATCTAATGCCAGCTACATCTTTCCCTCAAACAGCTGACATGTGTGCAAAGGCATCCATTCCAATTCATCAGTTGCTTCAGCTTGTACTCTAGTGTTACATTAATAGCTATCAAAGGCTTGCTCTTTCCTCACTTCTGACAATGTAGATTCTGCCTCTTATTGTCTGGCAGGTCTCCAGAAGAGACAGAGGTCTGAAATCTTGTGTGTATTAAGATGTTCAAGGCTTTACCTCCTCAATTTTGAATTGTGAAAATGGCACAGTGAAGTTGTTCCAAGTTATCTGTCTTAGAGATTTCACACAGGGTGTTACAGTACAATTGGCATTAGCGTCCCGAAACTTTTTCACATGAAGCTTGTCAGTTAGAGGATTTGTTTTTCCTGCAGTAGGTTGAATTTGTTGCATGTCTACCATAATCAGCCTCTTCGTTGTCTGGTTTTGGAAGTTTCAAAAAAAAAGTTTAGTCCTAATAAACTTACTCAAGAGAAAAGGACCTGGAGTCTCCTTCTCTGGAGCTATTCAAGACTCATCTGGATGCTTTCCCATATAGCCTGCTGTAAGGAACCTGCTTTAGCAGGGGGGTGGATTAGATTGTCCCAGAGCTCCATTCCAGCCCCTACAGTCTGTGATTCTGAGACTTCACCAGATCTGAAAGATCTTCCAGTGGTACTGAAGGGAAAGCAATTTCCACTGTAACTTCAGTCTCACTTTATAGACACTCAAGAATATTAAATACTCTTTCTTTACCTTGTTCTTTACTATTTCGATTGTCACCTGACACTGATGCCATGTATGAGTAACAGTTAGGAATAGCTATGCAGATGTCCTGAAGTTTGCTGACATCAACCTGCTACACCACAAACTTTTGTCAGCAGTGCTGGTGAACTTGTGTGTATGAATTCAGTCCTTGCCTAGCTGTGTCACAGAGTGACTCCAAACATTCCATGGCCAAGGAGGAAACAGGAAAAAGGGCAGATTACAAACTTCTCACTAAAGTTTAGTCCTGATCATAATATGACTCCTCTATTAGGGAAATGAGAGAGAGAGAGCCCACCATTGAAATTTGCTCCTGATGTACACTTAGCAACAAAATGCTATGCAAACACATCCAATCATGTACACCAGTCCTGACTCCAGAAATCATCCTTCCTCATTTCCTTGCACAGCAGGACAAGTGCAGCCTTAGGTTAGCCTCAGTCCACTCTTTGTGTCCCCCTGAGACTTTGCTCTCCCAGACATGAAGTTTTCTCAAAACAGAATTTCTGGTGTTTTGTCACGTAATTGGTTTCTCACTGCTAATATACTCAATGAAAGAGCTCAGGCCAGAGTTTGCAGCTTCTGTTTTATGCTAAGAAATGGATATAAATATTTTATTCCATCAAAACAAGAAAGAAAGTAATAGTATCAGATATTCCTTTGCAAAATATAAATTTAATTCCTAGCTCCCTGACTTAGTTGTTGGTTTTGAAGTGTTAAAATTGAGGGCCATCTTTTAACATGCATTGGCACTGTGCTGAACACCTTGCTGTGTCCAAAAATCCAGCGTTAATGTAGCTTTAATAAACTTATTTCTTCAACATTCTCACCTCCTATGGTTATTGAGACCCATGTAATATTTATATCTATTTTATTAACAAAGAGCTAGCTTTTCTTCTTTCCAAGAAGATCAGGCAGCTGTATTCATACAAGATTCTGAGACTAGCCTGATAGAGAAGGGTTTCTTTTTCTTTTCAAAGAACGAGGGAGGGAAAATCATAAAATGTGAAATCTACATGAAATAATTTTCTACACATAGGAATAAGTACATAGGAAGGGACTTCATTACATTTAATGTAACAACAAAAAGAAGAAAACACGTTCCCTAAAGTATTTTAATTAATTTAAAAGAATAAAAAAAACAACACCTAATAATTACTGAATCTTAATTAGAAAGTCTGTAGAAGCAAGAAGGTAAGAATTTTTAATTTTTGAAAAGAGTAAGTGAGGAATGAGAATATAATTATTATACTTAATGCTCCCCATGATTGTGCTGCTGCCTGCGTATAAAAAAATGTTGCTGAAAAAGTTTAGTCTTAGCTTGAATCTCATCAGTGGCATCTAAGGGGAGAGAGGTCTTTCTTCTGCAATAATAGATTATTAGCTTGTCCATTTTAAATTACAGACACACATGTAATAGCAAAAACAGATGGTTTTGGACTCAACTTTAACAAGAAGAAAGGGCAGTAGTGCCAATAGTAAATAGGATATACTAAGTCTTAGAGGCTTCCATGTGTCTGGTGAAACTAGAGTTGTCCAAAAGGTTTACAGTGGTCATAAGGGAGAGAGAATTGACTTCTTGGTGATAAGAAAACACAGAAATGAAGAGTTAGGAATTTGTTAACTTTTGGATAATGTTTGTTATGTTTAATCTCTTATGTTCTCTTTCTTCTAGCTACGAATGTCATGGCTGATCCGTGGTGTCTTGCTGGGAAATATATCCTTGGTGCTGGTTGAGAACAAGACGGGGAAGGAGCTGAGCAGGACATTCTGGCATTCAGCTAACAGTGAAGGTTTGGGAATATGGCAGTGGTTGATCTTACCTCTCTCAGATATACTGGACAGGTATGAGTCTCTCCCCATCATTCTCTTTCTCATCGATCAGACACTTCACCACTTGCTACTTGGCAATGATGATGGGCAACATCACTCCTGGAAGTAGTTCCCTTAGGGAGAGGAAAGTGCTTTGTCCCCGAGAGGTGCCTTCTGAGAAGGATAATGAAAATAGCTTGAGTGGTTAGCACCCAATTTTAGAACTGAATGGTGGTTTTGGTTCCCCAGTTGGGTCACTGGTTGTGCAAGGTCTAACTTCTGTATCTCCATTTCACTGACTGGAAATAATCACTCTCCTCACACATTTATTTGTGTAGCATATCTCAGTTCTCTTATGATTTGCTAGAGTTGATGTGAGCTTTACAGTTAGTTTTTGTTTTTTTTTTTTTCTTCTGGATAACAAAGTCCTTTACTTCTGATGCCTCTAAATCTGAGGATGAAAGACATGGGAGAAGCACCTACTGCCAAATCAGACAAGGATGCTTATGAGCACCTTCGTGTTAGCTGTAGCAGGAGGATCAACATAATAAATGGCTGTGTCAGTTACGACTGTAGTCTGTCTTCAAGCATAAAACGTTTATCTGGTAGCATATGCTTCATCTTGTGGCATATGCTTATTTACAGAGTGTTGTCTTAGCTGCTTCTTACAAGTTAGCTTTAAGGGAATACTCTGTTGCTCCTTGTTTATTTTTGTGTGTAATCTGGCCTATGCTGTTTAGAGAGAAGACACAAACATACTTCACCTCCTGCTGCCCTGCCTTTAGGCAGTATGATGCATCTGCAGGCTGTGTCATGAGCACTGGTGTCCTTTGTCTTTTGGGGAATCTGTGCCCTAGAAATAATGGATTTCATTAAGGATTTGCCTCATAAGAAGTTTGAGCAAACATTGTATGAATATGTCTTTTATCTTGCTGTCTCTGGGGGCTGCATGTAGGCTGGGAATACAACAAGAACACTACCAATGCTTTGGTCTGGAATGTATAATTAATATGTGTGCGTCAAAGATTTTAAAAATATATGCAGTCAGTGCTGAAGTACCATTTGTAAAAAATACCTGGTTGCTTCATTCTCTTCAGTTGTGTTTGCTTTCAAGACTGGCGTATTTTGCCATTATTATTTATGTGATTTGTTTTCTAATGTTGCCATGGGAGTGTTTTGTATCTGAATTATTCTGTACTCTTATACTACTGTTTTCCTTTAAATTCTCTCTCGTTGCACCATCAGACAGAGGATACTTTGATGTTAGGAACCAGGCTAGAAATGCTTCATGTGTAATCGCAGTTCCAACTGATATACAGTGCTGACTATTATTTATAGGGTTATGACACCCTTGCTTCCCTATTACTTTCAGAGAAAGACAGCTGGGTTCACTGAGAGAAGAGCTTCTTGGGTGTTAAGACTTAAGAAGGGAGAACTTTGAAGTTTTGTTGTCCCTTGGAAAGTTTTTAATCCTTACTTATTCACAGAAATTGTGCTGTTTTAAAAACTTTTTAAAGTCTGATTTAGTTGAAGCAGTTCTTCCTGTGAAATGTGGAAATACTGCAGGCATCTTTCAATGTGACTTCATTCAGACTTCATTGTGAAGTCTGCTTCTTAGGAAATCTGGATTGATGCATGCGTTAGGAACTCCATGGAAGTGACACACCAAAGTGGTGCACGGGAGATGGCAGTACTGCATTTATCCTATGTCATTTATATTTGGAGATAAATGACAGATAGTTTTATTGAACTGTAAGAATTACTCAGTTGATGTGAACTCTGTGCTGGGACTGCAGAAAGTTGACTGTTTATGTCTTTTTTTCTAATTCTAATTTTCTAGCTAGTGTCAGTAGCTATGAGGGTCTGCATTAGACAGAAGGAGGCAGGATATTGTAGATATTCCTGCAGGAGGAGCTGAAACTTTGTCATCCCACAGCAGTAAAGCTCTTGAATAGAGCATACTAATGTACCACTTCCACACAAAATTAAAGTGTCATCCATTTTGACTGGGGAGCTGAGTGGAAAGTGTTATTAATAACAAGATAATATGCCCTAAAACTGCTCCAAAGCATGCTTGTTCAAAAACTGCTTAGCCATTATTTCTGTGTTTGGCTTTTCGCCCTTCAAAGAATCGTTATCATAGAATCATGGAATGGCTTGGGTTGGAAGAGACCTTTAAGATTAGGAAGATTTCCAAAACTATTAGACCACTTCTGTCTTTAGAAGCAGACATTTCTTAAATGTTTTATACCCCTCAAGTTCCTGGGGAAAAATTTTATTTTGGCAGATAAGCACAGCTAGAATATTTCAGGTGATTTGGCAGGAACAGAAAGCATGGAGGAGCATCACAAAGAAGCTAAATTGGGACTGAGGGACATTAAATTTCTAGCATTAGCCTGGGGAACTCTGGACACATCCTTAATTTTAAATAAAAGAGAGTACAGTGGGGAGAGGATTGAGGATTGTCCTTCCTGCCATTTGTTCCCCAGGAACACATCCAGTTGAAATTTTACTCTGTAAATTTACTTTGGGAAATTTAAAGGCGCTCAAATCCTGACTTTTTACATCCTCCCTTTTTCTGCGGGGTGTTGGCAAAACAGTCTTTTGAGGATCAGCTCCTGCAGCATGTGTGGGTTAACAGAAATGTAATTCCAAATGCTCAGTATCTTCTGAGCACAGGTGAAGAAGGGAAAGGGCCCGGCTACTACTCCTCCCTGAAGGACAGTTTATCTGCAAATCAGATCATACGCAGAGACTAGAGAAAGCTAGGAAATTGGTCGTTTTTATGCAGTGATGTAACACTAAATGTTGGGTTGAGAATAGTGTAGAGAACTACATTGTCAAAGAATTATTTTACTCAGCGGAACAATTCTGCTGCTTTTCCAATGGTAAATGATAAGGCTCCTGAAGGTTGTCCTTTTTCAACGTCACGGAAATGCAAGTAGGCAACACAGCCTTGAAAGCTCTGTGATAGTTAGGGCTTGATTCTTTTACAGTTGTTATAGTTAGTGAACGTGAGCTTAAGTTTTAATAATGGTATCATCATGGGAATGTGACAGCAAGAACAAACAGAAGCCTGATGTAATTGCAGATGAGTGATTTGTATAGCTAACAATTAGACGTGTTGCTCTCTTAACAGTATGGTTAAGGTGTATCTCAGAGAAGAATATCTCTTGTAGATTGAACACTAGCATGTGTAAAGAAGTGCACTTACTGCAGGCTGGTGATTATCACCAGCCCATCTAGCAACTGTATTGCTAGGCAGAGTAAAGGCTAACGAGAATTAGCTCAAATAGACTGATACCTGACTGCAGAAGTAGTGCTTTGATTAAGAAACAATTTCTTGATTACTGCTCCCTTAGTGAAGCTGAAGTAGGCATGTGGAAGGACACACAATGAATGTTCTGTGGGTCTGTCTGCCCTCTGACTGAAGTTGCCTGGAAGTGGATGCTATGTGAGCCTACCCAGTTGGACTGGTCCAACTCTGGCCTCTTCATACATATCTTCTCCCCTACAGCTGTCATTCACATTTCAGAGTAAATTCTGGTAAAAATAGCAAGTATCAATAGCCATCTGTCCAAACAGTCCTCTCTTCAACAAAATTGGAATATAGAGTGTAACAGGTCAGTTGGAAAGGACTTTGAAGATCATTAACTGCCTGGCCATTACAGTGCTAATGAAAAGTGAAAGGATATTATTGAGGACATTATCTAAATGTCTCTTGAACATTGACAGGCATGGGGCATCAAGCAGCTCTCTAGGAAACCCGCTTCAGTATTAGTTAACCCTCACAGTAAAGAAATTTTTCCTTCCGTGCAATCTGAACCTCCTCTGGTACAGCTTTCTGCCATCCCTTTCATTCTATCATTGGTTACCAAAGAGAAGAGATTGGCACCTCCCTCTCCGTTTTCCCTGCTCAGGAAGTTGTAGAGATCAGTGAGGTCACCTCTTAGCCTCCTTTTCTTCAAACGACACAAACCAAATGTTCTAAACAGGGATAGGCTCTATGTGCTTTTACCTGGGAAGCACATCCAGAAGGTAAAAAATAATATTCTTCTGCTTCCATTCTACTGACACGGGTTTTAAAATTTTGTTCTTATTGATAACTTTTTCATGAACATGTGCTGAGGAGTTTTACTACATTGGAAGAGAAAAATGTGTTTAAACTGGAAGTCTAGATAAGGATGTGACCTTTCTGAGGATTGAATTAAAAAATAATAATAATAATTGAAAAATAACAGACTTCAGTTACGCTAGAAGGAAATACTCTGCTGCAGCAAGTCAAAATTGGTGTCCAGATGATTATTCTTTCTTTAAACTGCTATCTTTACCCATTCCAATCTTGCTGGCTCACTGGTTTTGTCTGAACTGCAGTGAGGCTCATCAGCTTCTCGTGGTTATATTAAAGCAGGATTCCCTTTTGGTCCTCAGGAATGAGATCTTTTGTTCTGTCTGTCTCTGTCAGTAATTCTCATCTCAATGGCAGCCAAAGCAGCTGGGGAACCTCTGGCTCATTGCTGCAGTATAAAGAAGTCATCTCACAGTCATACCACTCTGCTATATTTTGCCAGCTGTGCCAAAGCACTCTTCTTGTCTGATCATTTCTTCTTGCATTGCTTTCTCATCGTACTCCTTTCAAATCTTATTTCTGATAAATTTCAGGATGCCAAGTTTCTCACTGAGGAAGAAAAGGAAAATTCTTGGCAATATTTTGTTCTCAGAGACACAATTGTCTCATGTTATTCCTGAAGTTTCTTCCCATTCTACCACAAAGAACCAAGGATCCTTCATACAAGCTAGACTCCTTATACATTACCATGTCTGTATTTATTGCTTGTGTGTGTTCTTCACCCAGAATTCTTTATTCTTTCTTCCTCTATGGATCCAATGACTAGTCCCACATTACTTGGTTAAAAACAGAATGAGTCTTTAATATCTGCATCTTTAATAACTGCCTTACTGTTCTATAGCATTAACTAAGTTTGCTGCTGTTCTCTTGAAATAGAGGTATTCTGGTGATGGCTGTTCTGTTCTGAAAATGTGGTTTTTGGTGACAGTGAGTACCTGTGACAGGTTTTGTATGAGTATATATTGTGTGGTTGCTCTTAATAACACCTTTGAAACTTAATCTTTATTAGTGGCTAATTCTGTCTCTGTAACTGAGACTGTAATTGTTAATATGCTTATAGTTCTCCAAATAATCCCATTCCACCCGAATATGTCTTTTATCCCAAATAGTAAGTTCTTTGTGAAATAACAACACATCATTTTTAACAGAGGAGTTAATGGGAACCCGTATGTGATAAGGGTTACTGACCCGAAACGTTTCTCTTCGCTGAGTACCTCAATCTCAAAGCAGGTTCAGCTGTTATTTTAGCTAGGTAGAGAGAGAAATCGGTTCCATCAGAGGCAAAACAGAACAGGCACACTGTGATTGCATCACTGCTTGGGGGGTTGACTACAGAGGAGATTAACATTCAATCTTGATCAATAATCCCTGTCTATATGACAAGATGAAAAAATAATTATTGCTATGAGACCTTCTAAAATAAGAGCAAATAGATAATAGCTACCTGGAAACCTAACTGGCTGTATGAACCAAAGAGAATATCTAGGTGGAATTCAGAGTTGCTGCTGAAGGGAAGGAGCTGCAGAGAGTTCATACAAAATTTGCTGAGGTTCTCGATATAAGGAGAATGATTTTTCTCCTCTACCAAGCAGAGGATGTAATATACCTGAAATCTAACATTTCTGTGCAGTGAAGACCTAAGTATAGATGTCATAAGCAAAACAATTTGTCCTCATGAAAGCCATGTAGATGTATTTTCATAATTTTGGCTCTTTATTTCCCCAGATTTTTGGAAGGGGGCATGGAGCACAAGGAGAACCTTGTCTTCTGTTAGTAGCAAGGAAAACTTAAGGAACAAAAAGAAGCAACTGAATGAAAACCCCAAATGATATCGTTAGTCTCAAATACTGAACACTCAGAAATAGGATCTAAAGTTTGTGAGAAGTGAGGAAAACTGCAGTACAGAAGGTTCAGTGCTGTCCTGTTTCTGTGTCAATTTTAACTGATTTGGAATGTACTTGGTGTTACCTTTCAAAGAACAGCTCATCTGGATTCTAATTTCATGGGTTGGGCCAAAGAAACAAACCAAATGAAAGTAATTTGCTATGCCTTTGGTGGCATTTCTTAACTGTGATTCTGAAGTATTTCATCAGTAGTCACCCCTGAGTGGTTTTTGAATTTATGTGAAACTTGAATCCTTCAGAAAGCTGAGTTGATGCTCCCCAATGGGAGATTTGAATTAATTTTTCTTGCCCACCTGTTACAACATTTTCCATCTGCCTCAAACAGATTATTAAAAAAATTTAAAAAAGACTACATGTTCTGTTTACAGTTCAGCTGATGCTTAGCTTTGCTTTATGTAACTTCCCAATTGTCAGACATCTAAGGAACTTGTTTTTCCTAGCTGTGTTGATCCAAATGGGGCAAAAGAGGAGACAGAAATCAGTCCTCAAGTAGCAATTTTTCTAGCATCAAAGTCATCAAAACGCTTCATAACAGCCATATTTTTACTCTAATGAGGAAATGTAGCTTGCAAGCACAGCTATCTGATCAGGATTTGGATTCCATGTGAGGATGTTGGAGGAATTTAATAATAATACTTTAATAAAACGGTAACAAAACTGTGAACACTGATTTTGCTGCTTCTTTATAATAGCCTTCATGAATGGCCTTTCATGACCATCCACCACATCCACAAAGTGTGGCGGACCAGCATCTGTGCTCCATGGGTGCTCAATCAAGTACTGGATGCACAGTCAGCGTAGCCCACTTACAGCTTTGTAGAGGTAACAGTGAGTCACAGCCACCTACTGCGTTACACTCAGTCACCACTGTAGCTTGTCTGTCTGGTATTTCAGTATCAGCTTTCAGCAATGCCAAGGGGAGTTGTTTCATTGATTTCAGTAAGCACGGATCAAACAGATAGAAGAAAAAGGAGGGGGCAAGGGAAGGAGATCGTCTGTCGTTTTTTTCCTCCTCACTGATGTGTGACATTTCCATCTTCAGTTTTGATTAAATTTCCCTTAATTAGCCCATTAAGCTAAAACCACCAAAGCTAATGATTGAAGTGTTGGTTAACTGATGATCTTGTTTCAATGGAATTTGAAAGACATCATATTTCTAAATTAATAGTGGCATTAAATTGGAGAAGAGAAAAAGATGAACTATTTGTTGCAGTAATGCTGATCTCAAGGGAAGGCTTGTACTGAATCTGCATTCATGTTAGAAAATTAAAGAAAAGCCATAGATTAGTAGGCAACCAGAGCAACACTGGTGGTCCTGACAGTGTTTGACGTTTGCACAATTCTTCTGTTTTGGGAGCTCTTCTATCTTTTTCATCACTGGTGAACTTCAGGAAACCTTTTATGTATTCTGGACTCAGTGTTTCTGCAGTGGAAATTGGCAAGGCTGTCTCTTGAAAAAGAATTAAAAGCAACCTATTACATTTTTTCTTGGGCATGTTAGATGACATTCCACTTCATGACAAAAATATTGTTTTGTATCAAGCCTTCCTGCTTTTAGGAACTGGACATTTGGTAATCTTTGTAAGAACAACCATTCATTGTCTGGATAGGCAAGATTAGGATGTGTTTCACATACAGTTCAGTCATTTCTACTACTGGAATGCTAACTTACATGAGAAAGAAAATCAGAACACACTTTGTCCAACAGCTCAATCAAAACAGAAGGGCATACTGTCCCCAAAGTACCTCTGAGCAGAAATGCATCACTTGGGTGTTGTTTTGTGAGGTTAATTCACTGGTGAAGGTGAGGCAGATTTTAAAACTGCTGGAGGCAACAAGTCTAATATGTGAACACTGATAGCCACCAAAACAATGAGAGAAAATGTTTTAGATGAGTAACTATAAGGAATATATGGGATGAGAGTCTGTGTGAAGAAAATTCTTGCTGGTTATTAGATTTTTGCAGTACTGCAGGAAAACAGGATTTGTATAAGCTTTTTAAATAAACAGGAATGCTACTAAGAAAAACCTTTTTTGTTCATCTGTTTGTCATCTAAACTGGAACACCTGCATAATGGCTAAACGGTCATATCCAAAAAATAGAATAGGAGCCATCAGCAAGTTGTCTACATTTAAGAGACCCATAAATGGCTTCAAATTCTCCTGGTGTAAAATATTAAGATACAAAAGTGACTGTAGTTTAAAGAACATCTCTTTTTCTCTTGCAGCTTGCATCATGAAGCTTGCTACAGAAGTCTTGATACAACTTCTTGGCTTTGTATCTGACTTCCACGTCATTGTCAGTTGCTTTTATAAATTGATTTCAGGTCTCAAGCACAATGTTATGACTTAATGTTGCAAATGTATATCTGGAGAACATAGTTTCATAGAATGCCTTGAGTTGGAATGGACCTTAAAGTCTATCCAGTTCCAACCCCGTGCCATGGGCAGGCTTGCTAACCACTAAGTCAAACCACATCCAACATGGCCTTGTACACTTCCAAGTAACATGAACTTCTTAAGTTAAAAGAAAACACAAATCTATATGTGCCCTGAAAAAAAAAAAAAAAAAATAGAAATGCCATGGTCTGTATACTATCAGGTTTGAAATATTTGGTTGTGGATTATTATTTTTTTTGCTCTACCAGTTGACTGGTAATACCAATGAGGATGAGTTTACAGCAGTCTTTTTTTTTGTTGTTAACATAGAAATGGCAAAAGTCTATTTACTGCAAAATCTAGATGAGAATGAGGGTGATTTAAGGTACAGCTTCTACTGGTGAAGGGGATGATGAGATCTGCTGTTCCTATGGACTAGCCAGTGTCAGCTCTCTTTTTTTTCTTTTTTTTTTCTTTTTTTTTCCTTTTTCTTTTTCTTTTTTTTTTTTTTGACTAAATGAGGAGGTTGGTGGCCCTGCATGTGGCAGGGGGGTTGGAGATTCATGATGCTTTAGGTCTTTCCAACCCTGGCCATTCTGTGACTTCTGGGACTGTTGGATATCTTTTGTTTCCTTCAAGGTGGATCAACACCAAATACATAAATTGATTTCAGCCTTTGACTGCTACATTCTTTTTAAAACTATTAAATGACTTCAGGAGTCCCAGCTTGCTTACTTTTCTTAACACTTCCAGGTATAAAATATGAGAATAAAATCAGTTTAATGGTTTGGAATTTCCACTTAAATCCTGAGCCCACCAACCAACAAGTACTGGCACCTTGTGTGCTTCTCAAAGGACATATGTTCACGTACAGCTCCCCTCCTTGGATCATCTTTGCTTGTTTGGGAGTTAGGACTCTTTCTCTATCAATTTAATATTTTTGTATGTGAAAATAAAGCCTTTTTCTTCCATTCTGAAACTGCTTTAATTTTGAATAGCTCTGTTTCATCCCCCTACCAGAGAGATTTTTAATCCCTGTTCTTCCAATCTCTGCAGGTTTTGGTTTCAGATCATTGCTTCATGGGAAAGAGGATCCAATGCTGTTATTGCTTTTGACAACGTCTCCCTTAGTCTGGACTGTTTTTTAACAAGTAAGTTTTCCTTCTGTCTGCAAGTGGTGGTTTGTCTTTTATTTGCCTTGCAGCTGAAATTTGGAGAGGGATGGAAACTGTGGGGAAGGGATTGTGTGTTGCTGCCTTCAAAAGACTTGGAAAGAAGTATGTGTCTGAAATATTTGTGCTCAGATAAAGGAGACCATTCAGACACATATCTTATTAGTGGAACTGACTGGTGAATTGGTTCCAGGTTTGGCAGTAAATGGATAGCAAGACATATGGTGTTGGAGAGTCAGCTGCGGCTTGAATAGTAGCATCACCTATCCAGGCAAACTGATGCAGAATCCAGTCTGTAATTATGGAGTTTGACATGACCTGGTTTGTTGTGTGACAGTTATCAAAATGAATGACAGTTGGACTCTGTCTCAGAAAAGACAGGCAGTCTGTGATTGACACTAACTTTGCAATAACATTCAGTGCAATGAATTAGTTCAATTAGAACAATTTTTTTTGTTGTGTTTTTGTTGTTGTTGTTTGGTTTTCTTTGATTTGGACTGATGTCCATTTAAGTCTGAATCAGAAACTAAGATGCCCACTCTCATACCCTTGGGAAAAGTTTGGATTTAGATTCAGACTTTGTGATTGATCAGCCTCTAAAATAGGTTGAGCCTATACCTCTGCTGCCATTCACCCCATTTAGATTTTTATTGAGCAGTTGTGTCTGGCTTATAACCTCATGCATACTGAGATGCTTAAATTATAAATGTGTTTATCTGACGCTCCATTCTTTGAAACAAAAACTTGCTTGAGGATTGCTGCTCATAACACATGAAACTTCTGACTTGAACAGTAGAACCTGACTGCTTGTTCATCTCCTAGGCTTGAAGCTACAACTTCTGTCATTTTCAGTGGGTTGAAAACATCTAAGCTACTTCCTCATCCAATAGCAGTCAGAGTATCATTTGCTTCGTGTTAGTTTGCACTGTCTGGGTCTGTGTATATTTCCTTTTATGCAATTGTGCATAGAAAAATGCACCTCAGGTTCTGACATTCTAAAGAGATCTTAAAGTTAGGCTGTAATTGAGAAAGATTGTACATATTTTAACCGGCTAAAAGAAAAACTTTCTAACAGCTGATAAAGATTATTTTGTACTTCTACACTGCATCTTCATTCACTTGTCTTGTCCATCACCCATTCCTATTTATTTTTAATTTGTCACAGTTTCCTAACAGCAATTGAAAGTCAATCTGCCCATTCCTTTTAATACTGGTATATCCTATGACTACAGGCTCTAATTCTCAACAGAAAAGACTCCAGCCCTTAATTTAGTTTGAGCTCTGGATTGCGTGCTGACTCAGCACTGTGATGAATCAGTCTGTGACTTCTTGTTTTCTAGTCAATGGAGAGAAGATATCTCGAAGTACCACTCCAGACTCAAGCAATTTGCTCACCAGTAGAAGAGGCCCGAATAATTTTGGATGGGAACAAAAGCTTCTGGGAAATCTCCAGCTCGGCACTGCCCCCATTTCTGGTCCAGCAGGTAATGGTCAGAACAGAGAATTATTTTCAGACAGCAGATTTCCAACAGGTGCAGGTTTTAGTTAAATGGAGCTAAAGGCAATATGACTTCCCCTTCCCCTCCTTTCCTTCCCTCTCCCTTCCCCTCCCAAAGGCTTTCTTCAGAAGTTTTCCTATGTTTGTTCTAAACAAACAAAAAACCTAACTGTATACAAAGCAATTACCTTTAGCTGTTAAAACTGTAACTGTAATTTTGATTGCAAATTTGTGAGGAGAAAAAAAAAAAAAAAAAACGAATTGCAGGACAGATTTATTTGATCTCATGATTTAAAAATAGAAAGGAATCAAAGCAAATGAACTGAGTCCAGAATGTGATAACTTGAACACTCATCTCTAATTAATATAGGCTTGATTTGAAATAACGTAACTACTTCTCTTTTTCAAATGGGGAATGAAGATTACTGAAAAAGTATAGCAAGGGACTTGATCTTAGAAACATCATTTTCAGCTAGTCAGAAATGATAGTCCTGTATACCTGGTTCTCTCCTGTTCCATGGTTCCCATTTCCAGCTGAGCTGTAGTGGCATGATACAAATTGTTACAGGATTTCCCTCCCCCCTCATCACATCACTGTGTCCCAAGGATTTGCCTGTTCCCTCCCTCATGCTTGCCCACACATTCTCAATATCTGTGGTGTATGCATGCATTTATATTTCAGTCTATTGCTTTTACCTCTTCCTTGCCAGTTTTTCTTATTGATTCAATTCAGGTGGTCACAACCAACCTGGGTGTGTACCACAGACCTATCTGGAGAATGGGGGGCTGACCATGGAAATACAGGATAACTACAGGAAAGAAGCATTGGCTACAAGTGCCACCTTTAGCACTGTGCAGCTGTTCTTCCTCACACAGGGCTAAAGTTGACAATTACCTGACAATTTGAAATACCACCCTGCTTAAGTTAGAGAACAGGAGTATGGTTGGTACATGCCTGCCTTATGAGTAAGCCCAGGAGTTTGTTCGTGCTGTCTCCTTCTCTCCCATTCCTTTATCTTAAAAAGACTACTTTAAATCTGCACTATTCTACGTTATGTTTCACTTTGCTACCTGCAGTGTACTGTTGAAATACATGCACTTGTGTTAAGTCAGTTCTGATACCAACAGCAGTCTAGCCAGCGTGATCAAAAGCTCCGTACAGTCTTGCAAGCCAGATTGAAAAGCTGGACATATTAGCCCCAGCAGAGCAGCTGCTGGTACATGAACCAGCAAGTTCTGGTAAAGTGACCTCCAACAGTGGAAAATCTCTGCAGTGTCTGCCAAGGGTTGCATTAAGTGGAGTTTATTGATATTTTCTGTACTGTGCAAGAAAAACGCAGGAGCAAAGGATTAGGTAGGGAGAATGAGCCTTTGTGAGAGGATACTGGGCTGAGCGGACCTGTGCATTAGGGTTCTTTCATGTTTTCCTAAATGATCTGAACTTACATGCTTGCCTACATAAGTTTGCAAACAATAGTAAACTAGGAGCTGTTAAGGATGGAGAGAGTTTGCTGGTCGGTCACCAAACACAGGAAGTTTAACAAGAGCAAATGACAGGTTCTGCACCTCTGGGATGAGGTAGTCTCTATAGTACTGAATCACCTTTTACCTTTATGTTCCCTGCTCTCAGTAAACAGTGCAGATGCTTGTTTAGTCCCTGGGCTATGCATTTTACCCTGGTTTAATCTTGTTACTTTCTGCATCCTGTAATGCATTTAAGAAACCTCAGGCAGCGTCTGCCAAGGCCATTGCTTTCATGCCCTCATATTTACTATTGTGTGAGTGAAACAACAACATCATCTCCACCCTGAAGTCCTGAAGACTGCATTGACCAATATAAGCTCAGCCAGAAGTAATTACAGCTAATGTGATCTTTGGCTCATATGGTGCTTCACCGGCTGTAATACTTCCTTCTTAAGAAATCATATTGAAACTAAGAAAAAAACTCTGTTTCTATAGCTGAGGAGACAACAGAATAATAAAATGCCTTCCTCAAGTCTATGAGGCAGCTCAGCCTACACAGCTAGGAGTACAATCTGAAAGACAGGCACCGCTTCGGTTACCTGACAATATATCCAAATAAAGTCCATTGCTTTTAAGGGTAAGGGGTTGGATTTGCTCCTTTGTAATTGAGAACAACCTCTTACAGACATTGACTGTGCTAGAATATCCAATTTTGGCAGAAGAAATAAATTGTCATCACAGCCAATGTCACTGCCCCCCCTTTATTCTCAGGCCCCGTTCTGAGTGAATTATTTCAGCCCTGCCATTGCTTGACATGGCTTGGCACGTCTCTGTGATCCATACACAGGAAGCCAGCAAAAGGTTTGAAGTATATACAATAGCCACACCATAAAGTATCTTGAAGCTTCTAGAGATCTTTTAGCCACTGTCATTTATAAAGGACAGGCCAATGAATGTGCTGTGTGGAGAATAAGACCCCAAACTGCCACAATAGTGATGTTATTCTCTCAAGTTTCTGGATGATGACCAGGGCTGACACACAGAAAATCCATGTAGATCTGAATTTGCCCAGTCACTTGCAATGCAAGATAGACAGCCACAAGGCTATGCACAGGTTTTCCTTTTCAATTATTTAATTAATGTGTCATTTACTAGAATACCCGCTTCTTGCAGAAAGATTGCAAGTGAAACTTGGTACTGGAAGAAGCCTGCCAAAAACTTGCAAGAAAGGCTGTTTATACCAGAGTATTGAAGCAACCACATTTGTAACTAGAACTTTTGACTGAAATTTCAGATTAAATCCGCACAGAGGTTGTGCAGATGTAAAGCATGCTTACTTCAGCTTAGTTCTTACATTTCTTCGCTATTAGTTTAAGTAAAACTGACAACTGCTCAAACCACAGCATCTCTCTACAGGGAGCTGAACAACCAATTAAAAAGCCAATTTAAATCAAACCAATGCAATTTCCTTTTATAGACAAGACGAGAGTATGGAAAATTCAGGCACAGAGAGATACAGAGAGCACTAATGAGGAATTCTAGGTAAACAAATGACTATCATGAATAAGCAAGGGGAGAAAATAGGATTCTCGGTAGGCAAAGGGAGATAACAAGAAATGGAGCGCTCAAGCTTTAATTAAAGATTTCTGATGCTTCTGAGTAGGCCCTAAATGCCATGAGGATAGCCTCTCTTTTGATGTTTCAGCATCTCATCAGCCTGCTGACAACTTACTTGTGTCAGGGTACATGGTACCAAAGTGGTGGGTTGTAAAATGAATGAAAAAATGCTAAGCTTTTTCCCCTCAAATCTTGCACTGTTTTGTGCCATCCAATCTGCTATTGTGAGACCATGGTTTCCTGCATGGAAGCTGTCACCACGTAGTCTTCTGGACTGGATTACCATTTTCTTCAGCTCCAGTTTCTTCCCCACACACTTGGTGGTTGTAAAGACTTTGGGTTTTTTGCATCAGAGGGTGTCCTGTTGCAAGTACTTACATAGTTGTTTCTCGGAAGAACTCTGAGTCACATTAGTTAATCAGATGAAGGAGCTGAAAGGAACAGCAAAGCGAGTATTAAGTAGAAGAAAATTACATTTGGTTGCTTTTTGTGCGCAATTATACTAACTGAACTGTTGGCGTAATGCAATAAAGGTATCTGCAGAATTGTATTTTTGTATTAAGCATCAATTAACACAGTGAACAAATGGCTCAGTACCCTCCTCCTCAGCAAAAGGAGCATTCTGAATAGTGATAGAAAACGTTCAGAGATGGATGGGTAGTGGGATCTTAGATGATGTAGGCATGAATTTCTTTATTGCAGTGTTTGCACTTGCTTTCTCTAGAGGATTAAAAACAGCAAAGATACAATACTGAGAACCAACACAGCAAAGTTAAATTGGAATTCCTGCTCTCTAGAGTTAAACAAACCATTAAAATAAACAGATTTTAGGCCTAAAATTTAAAGCTGCCTTTACTCTTTAAAAACAACAGTTTAAACTGTGCAGAAATTGCTATAAATCCAAGGAAAGGTTTTGAAATAATTTTGCTGCCTCCTCCTGCCCTGGTCTCTGTTATCCAACTTGCGTTTTTATTACTCTTTGCAATCCTAAATGAGAAAAAAAAATCCAAAAAGTTATTAGCATCTCCTACTAAGCAGCCTTTATGGAAATTAATTTTCTTCATGCTGCTTTGTTAGTTACTGCTTCTTGAATGTAGCAAGAAACAAACCGTTCTCATCATTGTTCAAAGCCAGCTCCTTGCCCTGTTGTACTGACACAGATAATTTCCCCAGAGGATGTCCTGGTGGTGTTTCCTTTATCTAGATGGACATATAAGAAAATTCTAAAACAAGAAAAAAGTTATGTGTATTTACTGGAAATGGCACTGAGGTGTGATCTGATATACATTTGTAATTACATTTGTAATTACATTTGTAATCTGATATTACATTTGTAATTACAGCAGCTCTTGTTGAGCTGAAAAATATGTCCAAGTCTTCCATTGCCTTCATCAATGGCAGGCAAATATCACTGCTCTCCTGTTACAATCACAGAATGGCCTGGGTTGAAAAGGCCAACAATGATCATCTAGTTTCAACCCCCTTCTGTGTTCAGGGTCGCCAACCACCAGACCAGGCTGCCCAGAGCCACAGCCTGGCCTTGAGTCAGCTTCTGATTTCCTTTATGGGTCAAATGTTTCAAAGGACTTTGTGAATGCTTTTACAAATAGATAAAGGAAGTGTTCTGCTTGTCCATGGCATTGTGTTCATTCACAGCTGCCTCAGTGAAATGAAGTCACTGAGGGACAATTAACAGAATTAATTGCTTCCATAATTTTAGCCCCTGGGGTTTTTGTGCTCCTAAAATGGTAGGCTTTATAATCCTTATTAACTCTTTTTTAATTTTTATTAATTTAGTGGAAGTGAGATAGCCTCTTGCCTGAATAGAGGTTGTGGCAGTGTGTCCCTAATAGTGCCTACACACACAGTTACATCGCACTGATGCATTTTGCCACTGCTTTACGTTGGATTCCAAAAGAAGCCCAGCACCATGGTGCTTAGTTTGTGATTTCCTCAAATCACAGGAAAGCTTTGGTTTGGAACAAGTTAAACCTTGGTTCAAACCAGCTTAATTTAACAAATGCCATTTAATACATTGAGACCCTTGAGGTATAGCTAAAATGCCAGCGGCTGTTTTGTGATGTGGGGTTCATATGCTGTATGTGACAGTCAAATTGCTTTCTACGTTAGCAGTACAAATGTGCTTTAGGCTTTGTGCCTCTGTTTTCTTTTCTTTGCTGTTTGTTGTTATTTGCAGCAGCGCTGCCTTGGGCTGTGAGTTGTATCAGAGCCTCAAAATAATTAATCATTTCAAGTCTTGTGGGCTTTTGTTCTTTTTCCTTTGCTTGAGCCAGGCATCCGTCCCCTTTGCTGCGGCTGAAATCCAGCACTGTTAATTGCTGTGCATCTTATGTACCCAGCCAAGCAGTGCAGAAATGAGAATTCTTGCTCTAAAGAAGAAAATAATTGTCAACGTGTGTAAATATATCAGTAAATCTAATTGGGAAGAAAAGTTGGGAAGAATAATTTTTTATTTTTTAATCTATTCTAGTAGGGGCTAAATGGCATTTCTTGCACAATATTTTTTTCTGGGAACTTAGCAGTGTGTTGGGAAGCCTCCCAGGCAGCTTGAGGAGGGCAGGTGTGTGGGTGAGCAGGCAGCAGACCAAATAGTTCTTTGCCAAATTTCCCATGAATGTGGGCATTCTATCAATATATAAATTATTCACTGAAATGTAATACCCCAATTCTGAATCTCAATTCATTTATTTTCTTCCCCCTACACTAAGCTGGCATTTCCAGTCCTTAAATCCAGTTAGCATCTTGTAACTGCCCATGGCAGAATCTATTAGGGACCCTGCGTTTGGCTTCCTGTTAATTTTCATCATGGGAATTCTCAGCTGTTTCTGGAAATCGGGCATCTGTATCTTGTATGAAGTCAGGCAGAATTCCAAAGCAGTGCCAGCAGTGCTCCCTGTCACACACTGCAGATTGAAGCAGAGGCAGTGCCATGCAGAATGTAATGGATTGCAGTTGTACACGAGCGGGGAAAAAAAAAAGAAGTGCTTCTCAGCTGGCTGCTTAAGGAGTTTGGGATCAGGGCTGCTGCTTTAGTCTTTGGAGGTGAAAACAATGCTTCAGATGGAATTAGGGTGAGCTGCTGTGCTGTGGCAGGCAGCAACCTGTAAAAGTCCTGAGCTCAAGAGACATGCTGCAGTCATTTTGAGAATCAAGAGAAAACCTATACATTACAGGGAATGAATGAATGGTTATTCTTGCTCTAAAAAAGAAGGGTTATTCTTACTTCAAAAAGAAATATGGTGGGTTATCTACGGTAGGGAGTACTTTGAGTCTGTTTTAATACCATTTAAGATTTTCAGCTACTGTTGTTTCTGCAGATTGAGGATGAGTTTTGTGAAACTTAAGAGAGAAGAGGAAGGGAAGTGAAAGGTTTTTCATCTGTTCCAAAATTGTAATTGAGGCCTATCTGTGCTATTTATGTTGAAATGAGGGGCAACTTCTTCCCGTGCTGTATTCTATTCCATTTAATTCAGCAGCAAAGCTGTTAAATGTTGGAATGGCTTTTGGTATAAAAATAAAAGTGGAGATAAGCAAGAGAAGAACTATTGTTTGCAGGTCAGAGCAGGAGTGACAAATGAGGATACCATGCAATACCTGACTGTAGGCTTTTACTGAAACCCTTGTTCCCTGAAATCAGCTGCAGTCAGACATCACTTGGGCCAGGCTTCTTCCAACTGTTGGTGTTTTTTTTTTTTGAATGTCACCACAGCTCTGCTGCTTCTGAAGCATGTCTTCATTCCTGTCCACCATCTGCATGAACTGAGCAGCTAGATATGTTTTCTTGCACAGAATGCAGCAAGTGCAGAACCAAGTAGGCTTTAGATGCAGTCATGCATATACCACTGTGTCAATACAACAGGACTGCTTCTGAAATCTAAGATAAATCTAAGATTTTGGAATAGGATGCAGTTCATTGATCCCCTGCCCATGGTGCCCAGTGAGAGCCAAGAGCTGCCTCTTGCAGGTACAGCCATGCTGTGTGTTGCATGTGGGACAGTCTATAGGTACTTCTGCCATGTAAGCAGATAACTAAGGAGGGAAGTGGAGGGAAGTTTGTTTAAATGGAGTAAATTGTAAATGCGAAGCTTAACCATAGCAGCAGTATGCACATGCTGTGGTCTGTGTTAGGTTTTATTCCTTTCCATTTTCCATATCACTCCCTCATCTTTTGGGTATATTGTCCTCTTGAAGGTCACCTGCTGCTACCATTGGGAACGTTTTTGATGTTTCACCAGAGACATCCAAATGGCTTCTTATTGTTCCAAGCAAAGACATTTACCTGTCTGCTTTACTAAACATATGTTTCAGTGCAGGTGGCTTAGCCCACTGGGATGCTGCAATGTTAAATTGCTGTGATAGCTGACAGAAGGTGTCTCATCTTCCATTTTGTGTGAAATTTCACTTTGCTTTTGATGATGGGTTTTTTCATTGTTTTTTTTCTTTTTTTTTTCCCCAATAAAAATATAAACTTAAGTAACTTCAGGTGTAAGACTGTAAGTATTTGCAGAATCAGAGCTACTGAAGCATTTTGCATAGAAACCTGTAGGCCTGCTTGCTTGCTTAGGTGCTTTCCCTTCTTGCCTGTTGTTCATGGAGGGGAGTGTACTGGTGTTTGAGGAGGAGAGGGGAATTATTCCATTTGCTATCTACTAATTTTAAGACTTTATATAACCATCTATTGCTGAAGGATTTGAGAAAAAAGTAAAATAAATGCATCTGTGTACAACAGTAGAAAAGTCCCTAGAAGGTCCTTGGAGGGTGGTCTTGAGGAGAAGTGATATGGATTTTGCAGTAAGACGTAAAAGCTTATTCTCTCAGCAATGCTTAGATAGGGAAGCTTTCCTAAAGCAGTTTCGCATTACTTCAAGAGCAGCCAAGGCTCTGTTATGAAGGTTTTTCAGAAGAACCAGCCACTTGCACTACTATCAAATCGTTTGATCCATTTCACGCATTGAAGAATGAATTTAGCCCATCTCCAGGATTAGTTTGTGAAAACTTGTGGTTGGCTTTACTACTGTGTTGCCTTTATTTCTGATCGGTGAGCTGCCACTGCAGCAATAATGGTAGAAGTGCTTGCCTTTCTTGTCCAGACACTTGTTCGTTATCAGTTCTGGACCTGGGCTGCTCAGAAAATAGTGTCAGATGCCAAGAAGCAGAATGTAGCTAATGTTCTCACTTCTTGAGCTAGTTAGTTCTGAAAAAGCCTGCATATGTTGTATTGCAGTAGAGAAAGTTGGGTGGCAAAATGCTACTCTTCGCCAATGCTAGAAGGAGAATTGGCTGGCCCAGCATCATTTATAGAAGTAATATTTCCTTTAGACATGTTTCAAGCCTTTTGCTTTTAATGGCAGTTTATTATACTGCCATGTTCTCTGTCAGTAGGATGAACTCCAATAATAGAGTTCATTGGATTGTGTGTGTTAGCTTGTTAACAAATATGGATGATAAATCACATAATGTGCACCAAAAACTGCCCAGTCTATTTATTTTCCATCTAGAGGTTAGTTTTGATTACGTAGGCAATATTTCCTTATTTATGAGCCAATATGTTGAGGTGGGTATTATAAGAGCATTGTGATCTTGCAACATGATGGCATCATGTATTCAAATTAAAATTCAGGTTTGTGAGACACAAATCATCAAAGCCATGTTCTAGAAATCTATTTGTACTGAGCTGGTCTTTCCATTTGATGAAAAAGGCTGCAATAGATATGCATTGATTTATACCCAAACATCTGAACTATAACATGAAGAGCTGTATGCTTGTTCTACAGACCAGTTAGGTGTTCTGCCTTCTGAAACTTAACTTGAATCTCATCTAAATCATTTTTCAAAAAGTTATCAGTTTACTGTTATGTTGTACTCACTGAGATAATGACGTATTTGCAGGCTTTTATCTAATTAACAGCTACTTTCCCATACAAAATAGGTTCAATGATCAAATGTAAATGTGAGCTGCAATGGCTAAAATGCACACTCTTGAGGTTAGGGGTATGCTGTTTAACAGCCTAATGGGTAAAGCCAGAGACTGAGTGGTCTGTGCTGCATTTTACTTCTGTTCTACTCTGTTATCTTTGCCTTTTTGAGCCTTAGAAAAAGTAAAGCCGTGCTCATGGTTGTAGCAGTTTTGAGAAGTTTTAGATGAGAAGCTGTCAAAGCTGTAGAGTGTTATGAGTCATTTGAAAGAATTGCGTGAATATTTGTTCTAGCTAAAACCTCAAGGGCCAAGTTCTTCTCTTGGTACTGCAATAACAAGGAGTAGATGAAGAGCAGAGCAGCTACTTGATCTTTGTGTGCTCAGAGCATGGTTTGTCTACATTCTCATTTCAGATCACTGGCTGTTCACAACATGTGGTGCTAGTGGAGCCTATGGCCCCACACAGAGCCAATGCAACGATGCCTACAGGAACTCCAACCTCAGTGTGATTGTCGGAGCTGAGGGGATTCTCCAAGGTATTCAAATCTGGAGAGTACCAGCAACCAACACATACAGGTAAGGGAAAACATCTGGTGCTCTCATAATACGTGTTTGTGTTAAAATTTCACCAAGCTGCGGATACGTGCTAGACGTGTATGTGTTGTATGCAGAAATTTAGGCAGATCCACTTCTCCTTGATTTTGTGATTTCCAGTCTTTCCAGTTTTAGATTTCTTGTCCAGCAGATGCTACTATTTGGTGAAATGGAGAAAAGAAGAAACAACTGTCCCGAGGCACATAAATATTCAGCCTAAGTACCTTACAGGAAGGGAGAGCTTTATAAATAACTGAAAACTGAGTATTTTGACCTCCCCGAGCCAAGGTCAATGCATCCTATATGCTATCCATTGAACTCTGGGATCAGAACCAGTTTTTCTCACACTTCATCTCATATAGGAGGTACAAATTTGTCAGCTTTTCTTACAGGACAGATTGCATCAGCCTCTGCTCTGTTTTGGAACTAGATATAGTATGTTGAGTCTCTATGCCTATCAGTACTGTAGAATTGATTTTGGAAGCCAGCCACCTAAGTGTTAGGCTTTGACACCGAGAGTTAAAACATTTAAATCCCCCTGCAGAGTTGTCCTTAAAGGGAGAGGATCAGGTACAATTTAATGCAACTTAAGCTGATTTTTACCAGTTTTCTTTTCCTATTTTTGCTCCTTGTGGGAGGAAAGGTACAAAGCTTAGCCCACTGTATCTGAATAGTAACATCAAGCTATAACTTGCACCACTTTGTCTCAATGAATCAACGATTATCTGGTGTATCCTTAATGCAGCATTCCCTATTGCAACTAGTGACAGTGTCATGGATTTTGAAGCAGAAAATTCTAGTGTAGTCTTTGGACAAATTTCAATTAAAACGTACTGGCATCTTCTCTGTTGTTGTTGGGTTTTTTTAGGTTTTTTTTTTTAGTCTTATCACAAATATATATATATTGGGGGTAGATACCAGTCTCTATCAGAAGTCTGCTGCAAAGCAGTTATAAGAAACTGGCTAGGCTATGCTCAAGTTCTGCCAGAGTGCCTATTACCAGAAGGATTGATGATAATGAAGAAAGCATTCATGACATTTTACTCAACTATCAAAAATGAGTTGCCTGAGGTGAAGAGAATTTTTCAGGACCAGCATTCAGTAAATAAGGATATAAAGTGTAGCCCAAAAGAGAAGAGGCAATAAACTTACAGTATTGTCATTTCTTTAATATTATAGGCCAAGAAAGAGCCAAAATTTTAGTGCAACTGTAGGCTGATTTTTGCTACACAATACAAACCACAGGTGAAATGAGGCTCCTGCAGGAAGGACGTAAATATTTAAGGTCCTAAAAATGACCTAACAGGCTTTTAGTTCAGTATAGATAATAAATGGCTAATATCATTAACTAGATGACATTCTCTTCTGTGCTTACTAAGGCTGCTGTAGAGAATTCACAGCCTGAGGAAAGGAGGCAGCAACTGTGGACCTAAATTATCTTGACATATTCCTGATTCGGAGCTGCTGGAGGAGCAGGAGGGACCCCCCTTCCCCTCCAGCATAGCACAGCTCTAGGAAAACATCAAGTTGCAATATCAGCAGTAGGCTTTCCAGAGTCTAAATCCACAGCCTGTATTTAGCTTTCCCTTGCAGGCCTACTGCACTGCGAATCCTGTAGGTCCATCTGATACCCATCTCCAATTTATCTGACCCAGAGATAAAATCCTCCAGCTGGCTGTTGGGCTGTTTAGAAAGCTGGTATGGTTCATCAGTGCATCTTGCACTGTGTAATGCAGCACAGTGAGTTACATACCTAGTAATTGAATAAGCTGAATGTAGATCGTGTGAACCAAGGCAAAATATGCTTTATTAACTCTCAGAGACAGAAAGCTTAACTTTTCACAAAACTCTGCTAACATAAGCTTACCTCGCTATCTGTGAAGGCCTGGGTAGGATGCCACACACTGCATGCTGCTTCATTTGAAGATTGCATTCTTATATGCTCCAGTGCTCATGCAGACAAAATAAGCTGGTTCAATCCCATGAGGTGAGCATTGTATAACAATAATACAGTTAGGCAGTATAAAAGAATATATTTTATTTTTAGATTGTCTTCAAAGTATTCGGAAGACTTTGTCATCCCACATCTATGCCTATGATCAACTATGAAAGAAGCAAGCTGTAACAAATTACATTGCCATCCATTAACCAAATTCATTCATTTTTTAAAGCAAGAACCTTTGGTCCATTTTTCTGTATGACCATTTGATGTCACTTCCACAATTCTTTTCTCTTGTCACTTCTTGTAACGTAAAACAAAAACACAAGGCTGTGCTTGTACTGTCAGTGCCCTATGCACATGCTGCTCCTTCCTGAAGTGTTAAGGAAGGTATGCTGTGTTTTGCTTGTATCTTCTCAGGTAGTGTGACTTTCTTCAAGGCCAATATGGTTTAAGTGTATCCTTGCCATAAAAGAAAGTCTTGCCTAAGGAAAGGGATCCTGCTCTAACCTGAAGTCAAGATAACCCATCTGTTTAAATAGCAATACACATTCTAAATATGGAATGACTGTCTCCCAAACCTGCCATTTATTATTTGTTTGCAGCCTTTGAATGAGGCAGAAATGGGTTTTCTCAAATTTTGTGATATCACTGCTTATATGCAAAATCTGTTTATGCACAGAAAAATATGGCCCTAATTGCAGCCGATTAGCTGTGCCAGCTTGCTGTGCCTGACAGCGCACTTCATTAAGCATTCCAAAATTCCACAGTAAATTTAGCTCAGCCTTCAGGTTCATGCAGTGTCTGCTCAGGGGAGCCCAGTACTGTGTGTTTACCACTTTTTCTGCTGGCTCCAGTGCAGCCTTACTGAGAAATGATTGCTTTGGTTACCGAGAGTGGCATGAACATAGTCATGTCACATTGCAAGGATCTAATCTGCTTTATGAGGCACTTGATGCTCCATGTTTGCTGTGACATCAAAATTGCTCCAGGCTGGCTGCCTCGGAGTGGTGTCACAAGGTGAGTTCCTTTCAGGGCAAGAGCTAGCTGAAAGTGAGCTGGTTGTTCCCTGAGGGAGGAAGCTGCCCGCCTGACCTGGTCAGGGTGCTCGTAGACACTGAGCTCTGCTGGTTTGTTCTGCTTTCAGCCTGCAGGACTGTGCAGGGCAAAGACCCATCATATGCTAAAGGATAGGAATTAAGGAGAGTGTCTTTATTGGAATAGGTAGGAAGACAAGGAAAAAATTTGTATCTTCAGCCTTGCATCACTGTTTACACACTCCAGGTTGAATTTTACTCTCCTAGGAATAGCTGTAAGGCTGTGGAAGTCACTGGAAAATCACCTACTTATTTCAGATCTAAACTGAGCTGGCTTGGTTTGCCACTTGCTGATGAAGTCGAGTGAATATGTCTTTTGTTGCAGCAGAAATGTGTGTTTCGTGATATTTATGATATGCTTTGCAGTCTCGTGGTAAAAACTGCTTCAAATACAAGATGTTTATGTACATAGAAAAGGAGAAGGAGGATCTGAGCAGTCCAATTTTTGAGTCTATCAACAATAGTAAGGACTACTGAATCTTAATTGCTTGGAATAAAAGTCCCAGTGCCTTACCTGAGACTGCAGCAGCCTCTGCATGCAAACTAGCTGCTCCTGGCTGGAGACAGTGTGATGTTCATGGTGACTTAAGCCAGGGGGCTTTTGCCTTCCCTGTTTACTGCCAGTAGTATGCTCATTTACTGTTTTTCACTCTGTTCCTGGAAATTTGAGAACTGTTTCCCATCTGGTCCACTGTACTGGGACCGGTGACAGTCTGCTTTCTCAAATTTCCCCATCAATATTGTGCATAAAGTTCTATTTAGCCATATGTGCTGTACTCATTAGTTCTACTGCTTCTGATCTTTGCAGTGCTCACTGCAAACCTCTCAAGGGCATGCCTTCTGGGAAACAAGATATGCTATATATATAAAATTTGAAACCACAGGGTCTTATGCAGTGTGTCCTCAGCAGTGTGACATAAGCTGTTTTTTGGCTACCCAAGTTCATAGACTCACATAGAACAGAAGACCTCAGTCTTCAAGCTTTGGCTTTATATGTGTTTAGAGTTGTCAGGTCTTTGGGGCACGGCCCTGTGACACTGTGTAGAGTTCACACTGAGTGTACAAAGCACTCAGTGCCCGTCAGTCGTTGCTATTATCTTCCACTTGTCTGGAACAACTCAGGTACCACGTCCTTGTGGTTTTGTTTTTTTTTTTCCTGCAGCATCTCAGGTTATGGAGCTGCTGGTGGGAAAGGAGGGAAGAACACCATGGTGAGATCCCACGGCGTGTCTGTACTGGGAATTTTTGACCTCCAGAAGGATGATACGTTGTATATCTTGGTGGGACAGCAAGGAGAAGATGCTTGCCCTAGTGTAAGAGATTGTCCTTTTTGCTTTGCCATAATACTTACAAATTGGTGGAATTTTGTCTGTTTACAGAGAAAATCATTGTCAGTGAGAAGTTTGGGTTTATAAGTTTCAAGGGATATGTGCAGTTTTACTGAGAGGGTTTGAATATCCAGAGATAAAGAGCCATATCAGTAGGGTCACTTCAACATTCCGGCCCCACTGATATTACTACAGGCTTCTGATTAGTCTGTATATCTCAGAGTACCTGTGTGGGTTTGCAGAGGGAGAAGTCAACCCTGCCTTCCTTTCCTCTGACTTCACAGAGCTTTGGCTTTGCTCTGCTATTTAGTCCAATCCTACAACAAGCACAATACTCTGCAATAGGAGATGCCCACCTCACTGTGCCTGTTTATTTTCTGTGTGGGATTGGGAGAGACAAATGAATTCCTGCTGAGACAGCCCTGGTTTTTGTGGTACTAGTTAAACGTTGCTGCAAATATCTAGACGGAAAGGAGCAACTTCTGCCATTTGCAGATGCAGTAATCTGTTAATCTTTTAGTATTCTTTGGAGGATTTGGGATTAAGAGATTGTTATGAACAGAACTAAGCCTTATCTGCTGTAATTTCACCTACAGATTTGAGCTGGGCATTTAAATGCTGTGCATTTCTCAACTTTTAGATGGCTGGCATCCAGGAAGTGAAAGTTTGACCGTCTGTTAGAGCAGAGAAGGTTTGAAAGATGCAGACAAGAAAGTGGGGTTTTCAAGGCCATGTGCTGAAATAAATAATGTTAAACCTGGAATTACACACATCTACAAACAAACCATAAATATGAAGCCTCTTTGAAATAAGAAGTGCCCTAACTCAAACTTCCATCTAACATCTATAACTAGGACATTCCAGCTCAGTGTAATATATGGAGTCATTAAATTTCAGGTCTCTGTAATCTCAGTGAGAATTTATTGAGTGCTAATGTAATTCTTTCATTGAAGCAGAGAGATTGTATTGACTTGTTGAAGGGACCTTTACTAGATTGGATTGTAATCAGTTATGTCTTCGCTATGAAGGATTTTTTTTTTAATTCAGTTGTAATCTAGTGGCCCCTCTGAGTCATTGACTTTGTCATCATATTAATCATCCCCACCCAAGTTCCTGTCAATTAAGGAAAGGGTAAAGGAGAGGGTCGTTTTGCTCCATAGACAAGTCCACAAACTCTAAGTAGATGGCATTCATTTTCTGGCACAGTTTTCTGGCCAACAGAACAACTTGAGGAAGATGCTTTTAACAGGTCTCTCTTCCAAAAGAAAATACATATGTGAAAGTAGGTAGAAACATAACAGTTCTGCTGTACAACTGTTTGTGCATTTCTTTCTTAAAATGTCATTAGCTTAGTGACTGTGGTGTACATAACAAGGTGGGGTTACTCAGGTGAAACTTATAAAACAAAATAAGCAAGAAGCAGAGCTTGTGGTTTACAGAAACTCAAAGCAAAACCCATCTTTCCATGCTCTTAATGTTCCAATTTAAAACCGAAGCAGGAATTATCGTTTTGTTTTGGTTTGTTTTTAGATTGTAGTCCAGAAGCACTTAGAAACAATGGCTTAATGTTCTGTTTGAAATAAGTCAGTGAATTCAGTGATTTGCCTGATGTGGAAGATTCATTATGTTTGGTGCTAAATGGTGGAGGGGAAAAAATGCTAGGTGGGAATTGTGGGGGTTTTCTAGTTAAGTATTTTCTTTAATGTTGTGTCAACATTGCAGTCAAAGGTGGGATAGCAGTTGTTTTCATAGACTTTGAACATCCTAGCTCTGGTAATTGCAATATTATTGCTGCTGGATTAATCTACACTGAGCTCTGTAGTAGACACTGTGCTACTGTGCGTACTATGACTATTTAGGTTAGCTCTGGTACACATGTGAGCCTCCAATACACTTTAGCTCTTGATAGACATGGTTTGAGAGGGTTGAGGGACCATAAGAGTTGTGTATGTACTAGAACATAGAAATTTATTTTCAGAATTCAGCCCTGCTCTTCTGTTTGCAGACTAATGACATTATACAGAAAGTCTGCATTGGAGAGAACAATGTGATTGAAGAGGAGATACGTGTGAACAGAAGTGTCAATGAATGGGCAGGAGGAGGTGGAGGCGGGGGAGGTGCAACTTACATATTTAAGGTATGGAAACAGTCTTTGTGCACCTTCAGCATGAATACGTACTGCCACTTGCCTCCAGCATCACAGCCATCATAGTTATTTTATACACCTATGAGAAAGAGGCCACAAAGAGCTCTGGGTGTCCTTTATTTCCAGATGATAGAGAGGTAGAGAGCAGAGATGGCTTTTCACACGTTTTAGAATGGCTTCACAGTATCACCGTGCTTGCTTTAGTGGCTTGGAATTGGCTTTGCAACAGTTGGAAACAGATAATTTTTTTCAATGCAAACTAAGATTCTGAAGCATAATACCTACAGCAAAGGGCAAATTCCTTTTTATTTAAATATGTCGTTGTAGAACATGAGACTTCAGCTAGGTATTTAACTTACATGATGTAATAACAAGAAAAGCTGAATATAGCCTGTATGTTTTGTATGGGCAACTCTACAGCTAGAAGCCACTGACCTGTACTGTTGTGCATTGTCTGAGATGATACTCTTTCCAAACACCATTTTCACCCTGGTGAAGAATATGTTTGAATAGCCTGACTTCTACATAATTTTACATAACTCTGCATGTTCAGTTTCCAATATAGCAGTCCTTCACAAGTGCAGACATTATATTGCACTGTGTAGGGCATTGCACCTTAGCTGTTTTGCTTGATGAAGCTTATAACATGATAACATTACATGATTTGTAATTCACAGAGCTGCCAATTGCCTCTGTTCCTTGTTGCAGAATTTGGTAGAACTAGTGCTATTCATTAATCTTTTGGACGCTGGTGCCTAAATAATGCAGTGGTAATTTATAGTGTTCAGCAATCCTAAATGCCTGCTTAGTGCAACATGCAGTAACTAGTCATGGTTGAACTTCCATTTGTATCTGTGACTCAGTCTGAATACTGCCTTTACTTCTCAACTTAAGATGGAGAATGGAGAACCAGTCCCCTTGATAATTGCAGCAGGAGGTGGTGGCAGGGCCTACAGAGCCAAAACAGACACATTTCATCCAGAAAGATTGGAGAATGATTCTTCTGTTCCAGGGCTGAATGGAAATTCAGGAGCTGCAGGTAAGAAAAATTTATTCTTTTTAAGAAAACCGTCGTGAATATTTGATTCTCCCAGATTCTGTGGAGGTGAAGTGAAGCTTCTGAAAACATTCAGAGGAGCATGGGAGTACAACAGATATGTGTAGGATGTACCCACAATGCAGGATATTTGGCCTAAACAAGGATATCAGAAATGGTGGAGTGCTGGTAAAATAGTGTTGGACCTCTGATAAGCAAAGTTTGTTATTTTGATCATGGAATTCATAGAATCATAGAATTGCTGAGGTTGAAAAAGACCTTAAAGGTCATCAAGTCCAACCACAACCTAATCATACCACCCTAACTCTAACAACCCTCTGCTAAATCATGATTGTTGAGGGAGTTTGCTATGATGATAAGACCATACAGCTCTTTGCACTATTTTAGACATGCTCATAGTTTCTTTGGCTTATGTGGAAGGAGAATAATTCTGTGCTGGCTAGCAGTCTCTGTGTAGAGACTTTGTACTGAGCAATCTACAAAGCTGAAAGTGAGTCACAGGTGACTATGGTGTATTTAGAGCAGAGTGGGACATGTTTTTGCATCCTTTCCACTGAATTCCTTTTGTTGCACATTAGAAACAACATTCTATTTTATGCAAAGAGGAAGAGAACGCTCGGTAAGCTTTAGAAGCAAGTGGCTGGAGAGTAGGTAGGGATATCTTTTGATATTTTCCATTGGAAATACTAGTCCTCATATGATAGGTGAAAAGAAGTGCAGATGATTAACATGATCAAAGCCCTAAAGTAAGGTCACTGTAGGACTGTGTAGAAAGGACATCTCTTCTAACCACGGAATGAAATTTGTACTTTCAGCTGAGATGCTTTGAAAGAGCATTCATTCAGTGGATCCCTATGGTGTTTGTTTGTTTTTTTACAAAAAAAAATAACCTTTGCCTATGCTTTGTCTCTTCTGTTAACCACAGGTGGTGGAGGTGGCTGGAATGATAACACTTCCTTCCTGTGGTCAGGAAAATCCTTGCTGGAAGGTGCTACTGGAGGAAGATCCTGCCCCCAGGCCATGAAGAAGTGGGGGTGGGAGACAAGAGGGGGTTTCGGAGGGGGTGGAGGGGGGTGCTCCTCAGGTGGAGGAGGCGGAGGATATATAGGTAAAGTGGCTTCGTGTTCAAGGTGTCCCTTCCCCTCCTTTAGTGCTAATGGTCAGCAAAAGGCTGATAGATAATTCTCCTGTAGCTAGCATATTTGACTGTTACGTAATAGTATGTCTGTGTGTTGCCTTTTTAGCGCTAGATGAACATATGGCATTTAGTCTTAGAGCACAGCCAGATGTCAGTCCTTCAGCTTTAATCCTGGCTTTGCAGTCTGGAAAATGTGCCATCAAGATCCTTCTGTGATTCTTGAGCCATCCATTTTTGGGTTATAATGCTGAAGGAGCAGGAGCCGTAGGCTGTGTGCTCCACTGCATTTTGAGTACTTTGGTCCTGGAGACTGGATGCCAGATTTTATGCTGGGTGAAGGGTGCAGCTGCTTCCACCCTGCCCTGCCATGGGAAGGCCTCAGTCCTACACAGGTGGTCTCTGGGGGCAGAGCGGCTCCACTGCTCCATGGTTCCTGTGCTCAGGCTGCCAGCCAGGACCCCTCTTAATAATGATGGTGGTGTTGACTTCAGGCAACGAGGAACTAATTTCATGTGGGTCTCAGGACAGCTGTCAGATGGCATTATGTTGATTATAACTGGTGTGGACCAGATTCAAGATCTCTACTAATCCTTAATCTCCTGGGCCTCATAGTTTCTTCAGCCATCTGCACTGTGGTGGACTTTTTAACCCCTGGTTCTCCACAGCTTAAATCAAGTCCATGATACACTTGAAATTCTGAGAGGAAGTAAGGAGTCTGAATAAGTGCATGTTTTGTACCAATGTTTCTGTGTAATGCTTCTTTTCCCAACAGAATGCCTCACATGATGTAACTTTGCTTTGTACTGAAGATGGTTAAAGAAGAAAAGCCATTTTTGTGGGGGGGTGGGAGGATCTTTGCATGCTTGTACGAAATACATGGACTGTACTATGCTTCTGACTTGTACCATGGATTGCTCATACTTTGCTCCTAGTATGTTTTATATGGCCAAGCACAAATGAGCAATTGAAGAGCAAATTCCTCCAGTCCCCATTCCTGGTGGACCACCCTGTTTTCAGGGTGCAGAGGAGAAGAGGGATTATCAGATCACTCATTTCCCTCTGCTGACACATACCTCGATCAGCAGGGATACTGAACTGAGCACTGGTGTTTTCCAGTCTCTTGGCCACAATGATACTGAGAAGGGCTTGTGTGTTTTCACAGCATCCAAATGGTTAAAGATGAAATTCATACCTTAATTTGCAACAGCTTGTCTAAAATAGAGCTGACTGTAATAACCTGCTGCTATAAATTGAAGTTCTAGACCCGAAAGACCAGTGTTTCATACTACAGCTCACTAGGTAATCCCTATATTTTAAATACTTCGATGTATTCTCTTTTCTCATTTGGATGTCTCCCTAAATACACTGAAGCCACGCATGTTGCAATGCTTATCTGTATTTTAGTGCTAATGAGCTTCGGTCTGTTAAGGTAACTTCTGGTTTGACATAGGTGGCAATGCTGCAGAGGACAATGACCCAGAGATGGATGGGGAGGATGGTGTGTCCTTTATTAATCCAATTGGTACTTTATACACTCCAGCACTTAAAGGTATTCATGTTGGTCTGCAGTCTCTTCTAGTGGGTTTCTTTCATGTTAAGACTAGTTTGCATCTGTAAGACCCTTCAGAAAGCATTGGATACATTTTATTGTCATTATAAGCAAGAGGGAGAAAGGTTGCTTAGCCAATCCAGTTGAGCATAATCACTTCCCAGAAACACTGCCACTCCAGCTATCTCTAGGCCTGTGTTTGCCCAGATATCACTGCGTGTTTTCATTGTGTTTAGAAAATATGGGAATATCTATGTGAGCAAAAAAAAAAAAAAAAAGTTTGCTTAGGAACAGCCAGAAGCGTTTTCAAATGCAAATGGACTCTGACCTGTTAGATTCAGCCAAAAATTTGTGAAAATACTGCATTGTTTGATCTCAGAGTGAGTAAGAGAAGCTTCTCTTAGCTCTTTCAGCTAAGAGTGAGCCTCACTGCCTGCTGGAAGGTCAGGTTTGCTACCCTGATTGAACTGCCTGCTGAAGCAGAGCCAGAGCACCTCAGATGGTTAATGTAGCTGGATGTTATTTCCTATGTGAGAAAAGGACAGCAGCCATGGAAGGTGGGGAGAATACAGTTTCTTAGACGGGGCTTACTCTGCCACAGCCAGCAACTGTGACCACAGCGCCTCTCTTTCTGTCAGTGCCCGAGAGAGTGATATGAATGATCTTTCCAGTATTTAACTTTGCTTCTTTCATCCATTCCCTAGTGACAGAGGGGCATGGAGAGGTGGATATTAGGCTGCACCTTAACTGCAGTCACTGTGAGATGGACGAGTGCCGTGTTGATCTTGAGACTCAAAAAGTCATTTGCTTTTGTGAGCCAGGCACAGACTTGGCTGAGGATGGTGTGTCTTGCATAGGTAAGTAGGTGGTAGGCTGGTAACAGAGAAAGCACATGGTCAAAACCTGTAGTTTGGACTGTAAAGCATCTGGAAATCTTATCTTGTCTCTCTCTTAAAAATGGCTTCTGTTTTATGTTATCTATCTTCTTTTCTGCTGATACTGGCTGTACAGTTATTTTGCTAGAACACAGACACGTCAGTGCAGAGGTATGGTGCAAAGAGCAGCATCTCTGGTTTGCTTTGTAGTATATCAATGACATACTGGGAACTGAGCATTGTGAGCCAAATTTTATCCACAAGAGGTAAAGGTCAGCAGATCTGGTTGCAATAACGGTCACATCTTGCTTTGAAATCATGAAAGTTTTCTCAGAAAAGGAGTTTTTCTGCTAAATTTCCAGGTTATTTCTCATAAGAACCCCGAGGTAATGTACAAGTGAAGGAGTGCAATTCTTGTGGACTTGGACACAAGGTATATGTGCAGGATCTGTAAATAATTCTGCATGAGAGATCTCTGAGGAAAACAAAAGACAGTACCTATACTTGCCTTACTAAAGAAACCGAATGCTTAGAACTCCATTACAAGGTTTTATTTCATATTCTTGCCCAGCAGTATAGCAAGTGACTCCAGGCTTCTGGGATCCTGCTCTCAGTTTTGTCACTGACGTGGAAAAATTGTTCTGTATTTTTACCACGGGCACCTGTAAAGTGAGTAGAAGCACAGTTATTTTGCAGGGTGAAGTAAACCTTAATAGATGGTCATTGAGTGGCTTGTGATCCAAGCGAGGGTGCAGCTAGGGAATACTTTGTAGTGCATATGTTATCAGTTTTGTGTGCCTGGACTAGATGCATTTAGGAGATGATATATTGCAGTCCTTCTTCTGCTCTGATTTGGCATTGATAGCAGCACTCTAGACCAGGCTATTTAATGTTCTTTCCATCTCCCCAGCCTCCTACCCCCAGCTTTTATGATCCTGTTTTCATATACAGGGAGTGCACATGTTAATTCCTTGATAGCAAACCATCTGTTTTAATGGCTTGGTATTAATTGAGGAAAGTAAAACAATGAGATATTTGAGTTCATCGATCCTGAGATCGTCGATCATGTCAGACGTTGCTCCTACGCTATAGGAGCAGCAGATAAGTAAATGGAAGGAAGAGCAGAAAAATCTAGCTGCAAAAAAAAAGTGTCTGCTGGAAGATCGTGTCAAATGTAATTCCTTTTCCTCTTGTCTCTCTTGCAGCTGAACCAACGGTTCATCTCCCTCTCTCCTTGGTTTTGTCAGTAGTGACCTCAGCATTGGTTGCTGCCTTAATTTTGGCTTTTTCAGGAATCATGATAGGTGAGTGTTTCTCTGCAAATGGTATTTTCATGTGATGGCTGGATCTGAGCCAAGAATAATCGGGCCCTGGGAGGCAAAAAGATGCAGTTTTTAGCTGCTGCCGTATTGAATGGTACCTTCCCACACACACTCTTTAACTTGGGATTTCTGTAGTTATTTCTAACCACATTGACCAATTTGAGGAGTTTCAGTTACTGAGTGCATATTTAAAGAGATTTTATTATTTGTGCTGTAGTGTAAAGTTGGCAGAACAGAGCTGTCACTGTTTTTGTGAGAGCCGCTGGTGCTTAATATCTAAAAGCAAACTTCTTTATTTGTGTGCCTATATACAGATTTAGCCCCTTAATGTATGACATTTAAGCTTGAAGTTCTCAAAAAGTTCACATTATATATAAATTAGCCTGCTAATTTATAGAGCGTGGATGTTCTTGGCATCTTTACTTGAAATTTAAAAAGGTATTTTTCACCCTTTCATTTTCTTATTTTCAACACTGCTTTTCTTGCATTTGGTTGCAAGCAGAACAGATCTGAATCAGGGAAAATCAGCCAGTGATTCAAACCACAGCTCTGCCACCTTTCTTTGTGCACACTGTGTAGAATTGAGAGGAGGGGAGTGACATACCCAGAGTAGCAAATGGCAACTGGTAAATTAGATTTACACAGCTGTTTCAGTTTTAAGAGTTTTGGAAATTATCAGTTGCACACACATGGTCCTAGATATGTGCTTCCTGGCCTGACAGTGCCCCTTTAAAAATTACTAATTATATCTCAGAGTGTGGAAGAATAATCCGCTCTCTGTCCAACCAGACTATCATTTTCATCTCAGCAAAGAGCAGCAATTTTAAAAAGATCAAAGCAAAAGCAATGAGGAGGAAAATGGAGGACAGGGAGGGCTTGTGGATAGGTCGTTACGTCCATCTGCCTTTGCCAGTGAGTGTTTATGCCTTAAATTCTTCCTCTGAGGAACATCTGTTGGAGTGGATGCAGTAGTTGTTACAGTCACAGTGTTTGGGGCCAGTCCAGCTCCCATAGAAATCAAGGTAAAGGTAATGCTGATTTAATCTGTACAAGATGGGCATCTTGCTTTGAAAAAAGTACATGCAATATCAATTACTATTCCAAGGAATATCCACAGGATGTCTTTTTTCAAAGTGCGATTTCCAGTGAGATTTCAAAGGTACCAGTGAAGTGGTTCAAGAGATATAAAACTACTATAAGCTGATTTCAAATTTAGTCCAACTCCGTTGTTAAAGACAGGAAGTTTTGCAAAATAGATTTATTTTATGTACAATGTTTTATTCTGAAGTAAAAGTTTAGTCTATCCATTTGGAACAATGTAATGCAGTAATTTATTTCAGACTCTTAGTCACTTTTCAATGATTTAGGAAAGTTGACTGTAGCCAGACTCCCTCAGGTTTGAATCTGGATTCATAATTGGAAAGTCCAGCTAAGCTAAACAGGGCAAAACAAAAACCTCAGGTTTGTGAAATCAGAGATTTCTGCAAGTGAAATTCATTTTGCATTTTCCAAGCAGTTAATGAGCAAGCCGGATTCTTCATAAGGTACGTAAGTCAAAGGTTCCTGGATAACCTTTCTATCTGTAATTACTGATGTGCAGAAATACGACAGTATCTCTGTCTGTTTTGATTCACTGGAATTTGACCACGCATCTAATTCCAGTGAGAGATACTGCACAGCTGCCCTCGTCTCCCAAAGGCAATCTGCATCGCTGGTTTACCATGTTCTCTATATTTAGTGTATCGTCGGAAGCACCAGGAGCTACAAGCCATGCAGATGGAGTTACAGAGCCCAGAATATAAGCTGAGCAAGCTGCGTACCTCCACTATTATGACAGACTACAATCCCAACTACTGCTTTGCAGGAAAGACCACATCCATTAGTGACCTCAAAGAGGTGCCTCGCAAAAACATCTCCCTCATCCGGTAAATTCATCTTTGCCTTCTCTGTGATCCACATTAATGTGGCATCACTCCGCTACCATGTAGCTTTATACAAAAATCCCAAGATGAATCAGGAGAACTTGGAAGACATAGATGCTGATAACGCTGTGCATGCAGTCTGCAGTGCCCTGTAGCTTTATTGCATTGTTACCACATTTCCTCCTTGCCTATGTATCTTGCTGGACTGCATCTGGAAGTTTCTAGTGTACCCTGTGCTGCTGCTGCCTTTGTCACTTGGGCTCTGAAAGGTATCTGAAGTGTGGCAAGCTGCAGAGAGCAGAGGATGCAGCTGGGAATTGATAGGGGCAGGGATGTTGGGCTTTCAGACAGGAAAGTGAATTATGAGCAGTAGACTTGTAATCTGTAAAAAGTTGGTCAGGCATAGCAGAGCCGATACCTACAAAATGTTATTAAAGAAGTGGTTGTGTTACAGACAGTCCTCACTGTGGTTTCACTGCTGAGACTGCTCTCAACAGGGCACATTGCCCACACAAAAACAGAGAACAGACACTCGGTGCAGCTCTGAGGTCAGAGCTGGCACTGCTAGGAAAGTGATTGTTGTGGAAGTGAGCACCTCTTAACCCAGACTGAGGTGCAGGAATGTCTCTGGGAGGCTCAAGCTTATGCTGCCCAATGTACAACTCATGCAGTGTTAAGAAGGTCCCGGGATCTGGGATGTAGTCTGATTCTCTAATAAGACAGTTCACTGTGTTGTTAGGAGATGTCACCCATGTGGTATCGTTGTAGCACCAGTTGGCTTAATACTCAGTGAGCAAAGACTGAATAGGCAGGTGTGCAAAATCTGTATCACAAGGACATAGGACAGGATGTGGCGTGTGATTATTTTAATTTTTCTTTCCTGTATCCTCCTTATTCAACATAAAGCCATAAGCTTCATGATCAGTGCTTGTAACAATTCTCAGCATGAATTCCTAGAGCCAAGTGCTTTACAAAACACTGTTGTCGCCATTTCCTTGCTGAGGTGTTTACCTAGAGTCACAGAACAAACCAGGAAAATATCATTAGATTGAAATCTAGGTCCTCTGAGAACCACTGTGCTTCCTAGTTTCTTGTTCAATATCTTCTCCACTGGCAGTGCATAAACATGGGAACTATAAATTAGGGTATGGAAACACCAAGGCTTAGAGACATCTTTTTTGACCTGCTTTGGAGAAACCACCACTAAAGCACTGGCACCAAAGCAGTAGAAAATGCTGTCCATTACACTTTGCAGTACCAGCAGTTTGATTTTGCTGGAGCAGTTCACTTCTGAGGATTGCTTTCTCTACCAATCACATACATTTTAGGTCCAGGATCAATTATACAAAGGTTCAGTCTGCTGCACAGTGTGAGGTGCGTTGTTATCAGTGCCAACATCCAGATCTCCCTGTTTCACTGCCATGAAAATTGTGAGCCCGTTTTACGAGCTGTGACCACAGTGTTATAATGTATGTTCTCTGTAGTAAAACCTTCTTGTCTTCTCTGGTCTGTCCAGGGGTTTGGGCCACGGAGCCTTTGGTGAGGTATATGAAGGTCAGGTGGCAGGGATCCCCAGCGACCCCACTCCCTTGCAGGTGGCTGTGAAAGTAAGTGACAGCGTATGAGTTATCATGATGGTTTCATGCACTTTTCACCCAAAAGTCCCAATGCATTATAACAATAGAGATGAATTAAGCATTACCGTAGGATGTGTGTAGAAAGGTTGCTGATCTATTGCAGCGCTTCCATTCATCACAGTGGTGGTAGAGCTTGTCACACATGGGCTTGTAAGACTTGAAAGAAGTTGTTTATATGTAGTAAATAGACAAACATTTCCCGTACAGCTGCAGTAGACAGCAAGAATGAGAAATAAGTCTGCCCTCTGTCCATCCTGTGCATGCTACTCCTGGTGTGGTAACCTGTTCAAAGCCTTTGAGTCAGAGGGACAGAAGTCTTCGTGTAGCTTAGAACAGCTGACACATGCATTAAAAAGCCTGTAGGCAGGAGGTGGATTTCCATGGTTCTCACCACTCCGTTACGGGATGAATATGCACTGAGTGCGTAGGCAAATCTTAAGGGAGTCTGGTAGGGTTCTTCAGGCCTTCAGCAGCTTGGCTACCTTGTTTTCGCCTAGAGGTTACATAGTTTTGATGGGAGGTAGTGGTACTGCACTGTCTGTGAGCTCAGGATCTAAGGTCTCATTCCTCCTTCTGTACACAGTGGAGTCTTGTATATTAGCACTGTTCCCTGTGTGCTCTGGTATGCTTCCTTTACTAGAAGGAGGACGATAGTGGCTTTTATGTGTCCTGATCTGTACCTCTCACCAAGCTTCACAGTATATTTTTATAATGGTCTGGCTATTATTAGAACAAGGGCTCTTTCAAGACAAACAAAGATGGCTGCAGACAACGTTAGTGCTTTTCATGGTGTCAGATGTTGGACACCTGTCAGTTTAAACATCTTCTCCTTGTCAACCTGTCAACCTGTTCTTTCTTTTCCAGACATTGCCTGAAGTGTGTTCAGAGCAAGATGAGCTGGACTTCCTCATGGAAGCTCTCATTATTAGGTGTGTATGGATAAGATGAACAAGGACTTGTGTAGAACAGCACTGTAAGCAAAAATGTTCCAAATAAACAGATGTCATTAACCCAATGCCGTTGTCACATCACCTGTCAGAGACTGAGTCCTGGAATCCAAGGGAGTAATTCCCCGTCATATTAAGGCCTGGAGAAATAAAGAAGTACTAGACACTTGGCCTTGAGGAATATGCCTCTATGTAAGCTGATCCCTGTGTCAGCATGTTATTTGAAACAACTCTGCTGTAGCCCAACTTGTGCCCTGCGACACAAGAATGTAGGAGCAGGCTCTTAACAGACATCCTGTGCTTCACGTGACCCACAAGTCTTGCTGTTGCACAAAGAGGACGCAGAATATAAGGAAACTGAAAAGCAGCTAAAAGCCATTCCATCCCAACCTCCACCCTCTGTTTCTGCACTGTGCAGAGTGTAAGGGGAGTATTTTGGCTTAATCCAGTTCCCCTGACTTTAAGATTTGTTACTTATTCTGAACAGAAAAAAAAAAAAAAAAGTCAGACATTCCCCACAGCAAAATATTTTGATTCTTTCCTATTATCGTGCTTTGTTGGATCAAAGCTAATCCATTATTGAGCCTCCCTCTCTCCACAGCAAGTTCAATCACCAGAATATTGTGCGTTGTATCGGAGTGAGCTTGCAGGCGCTGCCCCGTTTCATCTTGCTAGAGCTCATGGCTGGAGGTGACCTGAAATCGTTCCTGAGGGAGACGCGGCCCAGACCGGTAAGAAAATAGAAAATCGAGTTGTATTTAGTAAGCTGCTGCCACAAGGCAAATGTGTAACCATGGAAGGGCTGATCCATGCAGCTACCATTTTCCAGCACTTTAGAGTCAGAGCTTTCCGTTGCCAGAAAGCCACTCTTGAGGTCAGGACACAAATGTATATGCAATAAATGTTGCTGGGGTTATGCAGAGGAGCTATCGCTGGACTTTGCTATATAACACTGCAGATCCTATCTAATGAAACAAAAATATGTTGAACAAGTAATGATAAAGCTGATGTTCAGACTGTCAGTCAAGTGCATTTCTGGGGATCTCTGTCGGAAGTTTTGCATAGGCAAGTAGCTATCTAGCCTGGAGCTGTTGAATTAATAGCTAGTCCAGAGTTTTAAAGATTTTCCCTGAAATCAGCATCAATGTGAAAAGGGAGGCTGTTAGAAACGCATGAGAAATGTGTTATGACTTCTAGAGAAGAATCAGTATTTCAGAAGAATAAAGTTTGCTCAGAGCAACTGGATTAGAAAGGCACCCACTTGAAGTTTAGTGCCAGGGCCCAGCTTCATTCTTTGTCTCTACATTTATTTGACAGAGGAAAAAATGCTTGACTTTATCAGCACAAAAAGACATGCACTGGCTCTGACAGATTTAAGTAAGAGTCTTCCTTGACACATCTGGAAAGAGATCAACTTGATTTTTTCCTCGCAGTCTAGATTTCAGGCATATAAAATGGTACGTGTTGCCCAAAACCACTGTGATCTTGGAAAGGGTGCAGTAAAATGACTTCTGCCTGGGTAAGAAAGTTAAACACACAGAAATTCAAGGTGCTAGAAGTCTGAGTCTGAGCAAGCAGTCTTTATGAAGAGAGGCTGGATTTCTGTAGCACTTAGAGGTTCTCTTGTCAGCTTTGCAGATGGACTTGGTGGCAGGTGAATGGGGAAATTCATGTATTGCAATGTGGACTCTGCTTTCAGCTGGTGCATTTTGAAATGGCATGGGCCAAGGTGTGCTGCCTGGTAGGTGTGTTTTTCAAAACTGCCAGGACAGAGTGTGCTGTATGTATAAAGTGGCAGGTGGAACAGAGAGATGTAGGGCAAGGGCGTCCATCACTTTGTAGTGGAATCCTCTTTTTTGCTCTTAAGAGAAGCCAACTCAGCAATGATCAGGATCTTGTGAGGAAGCACCAAGACCATTAGTCTTGAGCAGTAGGAATTTTGACCTACTTGCAGTAAAATGAACCTATAGGTTCATTATAGGATGTAGTCATGGGAGCCTTTGCATCTGAGGGGTTTCTTTCTGTCCACACTTTCTCCAGCCATGAGTTCCTCCTTGCCTGTCTGGGCTTTCATTTCTGTCAGTGGTAGCTCTGTGCTATACCTGTGACAGCTAATGTCAGAAGAGGTGGAGGACTCACTCTAGGCAGCAGCATACATTACGTCCTTGCTATTTCTCTTTCTCCTGTCTCTCCTTCCTTTCGTCTTCTCTCCTTGTCTTTCTCGATCTCTTTGAGGTTATCTGAGATTGACCTGGGGTGAATGACAGGGTAATTCACTGTCTAGCTGCCCAGGCAGCTCCTTAGCAACTCTGTGTGCTGAGAAATCACCTGCAGTACACATGCTTCTCTGCTGACTCAAGAACAGGCAGGCTAGGAGACTCACTGATGAGAGATGGGGCTGTGTGCAGGGTGTTGTTCTCTATGATGTATGGTATCCAGCTGTGGAGGTGTGTTTACCTTCTGCATGTACTTGAAGTGTGACAGTAGCCATGTACATGCACCACATGTATCACGTTTGAGTGTGGCTCTGTACGGCTGGTTGTATCTGTGATCTAATCTGAATGAGCCCTGAGCTCCTTTGTTCTTCCTTTTGCTGTTTCAGGACAGAGAGAGAGTAGGCACAGGAAACTGGGATTCTAGTTTTCTGGAAAAGGAGGAAGGGAAGGGAGGGAAAGGGAGAACAGTGCAGTCAACAGGTTTCGATGAGCTATGCTTCTAAGAGGAATTAACTGAACACACAAGACCCAGCTGACTGATTCAGTAGCAAAGGTGCAGTGCTTACTGAGCTTTAGCTTTGCATTACTCTTATCACTTCTCCTTACTTTAGTCAGTTTTGTATTTTCCAGCTGCTTTACTTTCTTTTACCTTTACTTTCCCTGTGCATTCTGCAACCTGTTGCACAGAGCAGTGATTACACTGAACAATACACAGAGTTTCATTCCCCTTTAGCAAGCTCCAGCCTCACCCAGGGAGGTGTCACATTAGTGCTTCTAGCAGCCTGCTGCTCGGAGCAGCGGTGCTTGGCAGCTGGCATTGTTCATTCATCTGGGGAGCAAAAGCTGTGAACAGCTGTGAAGTGAATTCTCTAGAGTCTCAAGGCTCCTTCCCCTGCAAAATGAATCCAAACCATCCATTTCTCAAACAAATTGCATGGCTAAAGTGTCCTTGGCTGGGCAGTCACATCTGTTTTAGGATTGTATTTAGCCAAATAAAAGGTGGAAGAAATTCATCCAAGGAGAAGGAGGGGGATAAAAAAAAAAGGAGGGGGGAGGAGAGGAGGAGAAAAGCTATGTTGTTCAATTTAGCTTGTTGTGGCTTCATTGTACTGACTTGCACTATAGCTCAGATCTGGAGTCAATTGCACAGTAAAGAATGGGGCTTTTTACTCAGTTCTCAGAACAAGATTTTGAACCTTGCTCAAAAGTGAAGAGAATGGGTAGGCTGAAGTATTCAATTCCCATTGATTGTGCCCTGAAATGTGGGGAAAAGGGGCAGCTGCATCCTGTTACTGTAGCTGTCTTGTTGTCTCGTAGCTGGTGAGTCACTTTAACTTGAAGAGATGAAAAAGAATTCCCCCTGCCCACAAGTGTTGTTGGGGGCAGGAGGAAAGGTTTTAATGCCTTTAGGAAATGGTTACTCTGCAAAACAAAAGGTTCAGAGGGGGACTCAGTCAAGGCTTTTAAAAAATGAATTAAATATATATGCAACGTAGTGAATAAACAAAATACAGGTAGGTGATAGGTAGTCACAAATTATTTTGTTTTATAACACCACATTAAAAAAATAGGCTTTGTTCACACAGAAAGTGTATTTCCATCATTGCATTAGTCAAGTATGGAGCCTAGGGCTTTCCTAACCCCTTAAGAAGACATGAGGGCTTGTTTAGGTTTAGACAATGTCCAATATTTACTGGCAGCAAAGCATAGACTTATTTTCAGTCCCACTCAGTGGTGCTTTAGAGCCAATGATAAGGCTGACAGAGCATCTCATCAGTCTGGGCAGTGTTTCATTACAACAGACAGGTTGCCACAGGCAGCAGTTCCCATCACTGGAGACTGTGCTGGTTGGTATGCCATGAGAGAAAAACCCATGCACAGGTGTGCTTTCTGGGCACTGGGTAGGTGTCAGCAGGGAGAACTGGAGAGTGGGATAGGATTGCTTAGTCAAATAGCTAAGGCCACAGATAAACACTTACCCATCAAATGGCTGCTGTGGAATAAGCAGTCACTGCCACCTAGTTGTTTGTCATCAGCCCTGTCATCAGCAGAAGTAATTTCATCCTCCCCTGCAGGACTAGTGCAGGATCACTAATTCACACCTCATTTTGGTTTCAGAGGCCCACAAGCAGGAGCTGTTGCTCAGCCTGCCCTTTTCACAAAGGCATTTGGCTTCTGCTGGCTAAGGCTGTAGACTTCATCAGAGGGGCTGAAGAAAGGAGTTGGCAGCTCTCATCCTTCTGTAGCCACTGGCTAAGCAAACCTGTGTCAGTGCTCTGAGGGGCAAAATAAAACCTACACAGATGTGGAGGAGGAAAAGAGCAAAAGTGACTCATGCCATTACACAAAATGTCATTCTCATTGTTCAAGATGACTGCAGAGAAGAGCAAGAAATAATATAAAGTAATTGATGGAGCATCAGGACTCCAGGCTACGTATCTCCTCAAATAAAAATATACTAAAAATTCAGAAATGTCTCCCACGAGAACTGGGGGAAATCCATTTGTGTCATGCAAAACAGTGGGAGATTCTTACAGAGGATTCCTGGATGGGGCTGGAAAGTCAGATCCAGCAGTTCTGATTCTGTCTCTAGGATTTGTATGACATCCTCCCTGCACATCCTTTCCATAGTTCATGGATATGAACTCTTTCTTGTGTGATTTTTCTTTTTTAATCCTTCTGTATATTAATGTGTGAGCTACATCACTGGATGGATAGTTCCCAGTGTTCTATCAGTCACGAATCATGCTGTGTTCTTGCTTTTAACTCACATTCTCCTTTTGTCTTTTGGTAGAATCAGCTTTCCTCCCTCTCCATGCTGGACTTGCTCCACGTGGCTCATGACATTGCTTGTGGTTGTCAGTACCTGGAGGAGAATCACTTCATTCACAGGTAGGTGAATGCATCTGTGTTATCATGGGCATGACTTGCATACAGGCCAGAATGACTCATAATGCCCTCGTTTGATACATTTATGTCCTGCTGCACTCTAGTGGCTGGATAGCTTTAAACAAGGTAGATAAAACAGAATAACAGAAGCAATTGACAGAAATGCTGCTGTTGATCAAATTGCAGAGTGGCTTTATCAAAGATCCTGAGCTCTTTCTTTAATGCTTTTACAGCCAGTTTGTGTTTCCTTTTGCTGTGTAACCAATCGTGTGACAGATGTCTTCAAAGCTCCTCCCCATTGAGAACTGCGCTTAGTGTCATCCTGCTCACTCTGAAACTCTTCCCCCTCTCAAAGTACAAGTACAGCCAGAAGTGCAGCACCTCATGACTATTGCTACCTGCTTCTGCAGAACAGGGTTTTTGAGAAGCATCCAAAATTCTGCCTATAGCATTGAGTAGAGCCTGGAGAATATGGAGGGGGGGGGGCAATGGGAAGGCAGACAACACAGGGCAGAAGGTGTTACAGCTTCCTTAGCATTTTCTATTAATTTTTTACAACCTTAACTTTAGAAAATTGTAAATGAATGTCATAGCATTTAACATGGTCTGGAGTGACCACGTTTGTATTCCTTCCAACTGTAACAACAGCAAGTAACAAGGGAAGCAGAAATGCCAGCAGTTGTTCTTTGGCTCCCACTAATCCTGCACTGCGGTTGTTCATGATGAATGTGCATGCCCACTGCCTACAATAGAAGTGCCCAGTGCTAGCATGTGGCTATGCAAGGAGCTGTGTGAAGCTGTTGTAGCCAGATTGCAGTTCACTTTTCTGAGTTACTCACAAGGGGTTCAACTATATTATTCTGGTCTCAGGGTATATTTCAGCTCAGCAGAGATGGAGCTTTACCTGCATCCACAGAGTCAGGCTCTTTTGCATGTTGTTGTTCTTCCTGTCTCTGACAGTTCAATACCTCTTGAACAATATTTGAACAAGCATGCTAGCAACAGATCAATGGGTCGTTCCCCAGACAGCTTGATGCTAGCGCTGATACATTGCTGAAATCAGCCCCATTGCTTGCAACTCCCTAGAAAAATTAATAGCTCCTGGGTGACAAGAGGCTTGCTGGAGGCCATCCTGTCTAAGAGATGTTAAATGAAGCCTTAGGAGGAATTTTTTAAGAGCAGAACTTGTCCTGCTATTGGAATAGATTGAAATGTGGGACATCACTAGTTACCCGTGAACACTGACTTTCTGGGTGTTGGGAGTTCTCTGCACTTCAGGAAAATAGGTACTATTTTTTGTTTTCTTTTTGCTTTGCAAAACCGTGAAATGATTGATTCTTCTCTCTCTTGCTTTTCTTGCCTTTCTTTGTAGGGATATTGCTGCTAGGAACTGCCTCCTTACCTGTCGAGGGCCTGGAAGAGTGGCTAAAATTGGAGACTTTGGCATGGCCCGGGATATATACAGGTAACAGATCTAAAGATCTAAAGCCACATTATCCACAAGCAGAAACTCACAAAAATGAGAAAGAAGTGTCTCTGAAGGACAGCAAGCTCATGTGCTGCTCTGTGTAACTCTAGCAAGGCAAAAGTGGAGACATCCAACCCCAATGAATCCCGCTAATGTTTTTGTTGGCTTTTGCCTTTCCCTATGCTTTAGGTGTGCTTTGGAGACTTTTACCACTCCCTGAGAGCTTGTTTCTAAGTAATGAAATCTGATGGCCACAGAAGGCATTTTTCCTCTCTCTTGTACTCTATCCACAATTTCTTGCCTTTCTGCTGTCCGCACTGTATGGCACTGATGTGCCCTTCTGTTTTGTGGCCCCAAACGTTTCTGAGTTTAATCTTTCTGCTTGATACTACCCCTGCTTCTTTGGCTTAGTACATCAGTACATCTCCTCAATTTACTGAAGGTAAAGGAAGAGGGGTGCAGAGGAAAATGCAATCACCAAAACTGGAATTCAGTCAGGACACAGAGTTAACTACTCTGTTCTTGCAAGAAAGTGTCAGGAAGCCTTTAATGACCACAAGCAGTCAAGGCAGCAGTTTGAGATCTTATCTTCTAAACAGCACCCCTAGAAGCACAGCACCATGTCCTGCTGTGCTGAGGAATTGATTTGCCTCTGACTCAAAGGAAGGAAAGCCTTGTAGTCAGTCATCCGCACTGTTATTCCAGAGCCTCAGCTTCTTTTTTTCCTGGTTGGGGATTCTTCCATGCAATTACTAAGCCAGGCCTGGCTCTGCTTAACTTGAGGCCTGCCAGTATCACAGCCTGAGGTGATGTGAACAGTGTTACTTTCAAAAAAACAAGCATATCAGAACTGCTTTTTTTTTCCCCATCTCCCTTTTCACAAAGAGCCCCTGCTCTGCCCCACTGTCAGATGGGACTCTGCTGGGACAAAGTAACATCTGTCACACTCACACCATCAGTTGAACCGACTGCCAAGACGCATGCTTTGTTGCTGAGTTTTCAGAGGTGTCTTTGAAGTTTGCACGTTTCGGTGTCTAGCAGTATGCTTTGTGTGCTCAGGCTGTTTGGTTATGAACATTAATATTGGCTTGCATGAGAAACATACTGTAGCTGCCAGCATAGGATTTGGGGATTCTAGGTTTTATTTTAAACAACAATTATTTTTTATAATTGTTATACTTCCTGTCTCTGGAGCACAGGAGGTGACTTTTCTATCTGCTGCCCCAGCTATAAATGCTGACCATCCTCCTTGCTGCTCCTAGGTCCTACTAAGGGTTTTGGATCCCTCTTGCAGTGCTTTAGACTGGGTACATTTGGGAGAGGCTTTGTTTATGGTAGCTGGGGATGCTTGAGGCCACCACCTGTGAGATGATGTGCAACTCTTGCTGGGGCTGAAAAGCGCAGGAGGAAGGATACTCAAGTCACTTAAGTATGCACACACATAAGAATAACTCAGTTTCATTGGATCAGGCCCAAGGTGAGGGAGATTGCAGAGCAGTCCTTACATGGCCCATTGGCATCATTTTTGTGAGAAGAAACAGGTCTCTTCAGCATTTTCTCTAGCATGGTCTTTTCCCTGAATTAATCCCTCCTTCAGATGATAATTTTAATATTCCTCATTGTAAAAATTCTGAGTTTAGGAATTTTTTGAATTCCTGGCTGACTGTTTTGCTTGTTCTCTGCAGAGCCAGCTACTATCGGAAGGGAGGGTGTGCAATGCTGCCTGTCAAATGGATGCCTCCCGAGGCTTTCATGGAAGGGATATTTACATCAAAAACAGACACGTGGTGAGCTTCCCTTACTGCTCCATCTGTGTGTATGTGCATGTGTCTGTCTGTTGTAATCCATTGGGTAAAGTGTGAATGTTTTGTAAAAAAAGGTGTTCTTGTTCATTTCCCCCTTAGACAAGCAAGGTCCTTCAGAGGCAGAAATCCTGTAGGACACGAGGGAACAGGCAGTCAGCAAAGGCAGGTGCTGCTGGGGCAGCAAGCAGGCAGGGAAGGTAGATTGAGGCAGTTGGATGTACTGATTTTTTGCTACAGGGAGGAATGCATTAGCTCCAAACTAATGAAAGCAGTAACATGCAATAAGAGACTGCAGACAGGATCCATCCTGCCAGCTAGAGAAAAGGGTGTAACGTTCAGCAGCTTTCACATTCCTCCTGTCCCAGAGTGGCACCATGAGCTCTTGAATTTCCAGCAGCCAGAGGAGGAGAGAAATTGAGTGAACTTGTGAACTGAAAGCAGAGGGCTCATCCAGAAGAATCAAGTCCCTGGTGCAGTTACTTCTTCTGCTTGTAATGCATCTTGGCCTCACCTCACCTGCTGTAGTGTTGAGATGAAGCCAGGGGTGAAGGAGGAAGGTTGCTGGGGCTGCGGGGGAGATGGGAGCCCAGGCTGTGCCTGGAGGGGAGGGGGCTGCTGTTCAGGGCACAGCTCCTCAGCAAGCCCACACAGAGAGGAGGATGAAGGCACCCTCTCTGACAGAGCTGAGCTGCTGCCTGAGTTTCCATTGCTGCTTATAGCTCTTCTGTAATTTCACTTAAGGTGGTGATTTCCAAGCAGCCAGACAGATGAATGCTCTGGAGGGGGTTCCTGTCACAAATGTTGCCCCTCAGTGATGATGGTTGTCGTTCCTGTATCCTTCACTTGGATCTCTTCTCTATTCAGGTCCTTTGGCGTATTGCTGTGGGAGATATTCTCATTGGGATACATGCCTTACCCTAGCAAAAGTAACCAGGAGGTTCTGGAATTTGTAACCAACGGAGGAAGGATGGATCCACCTAAAAACTGCCCTGGCCCTGTGTATGAGATTCTAACTTTGATGTATTCATGCAAACAGGTTTCTGTTTTGAATGCTGTTCTCTACTTAAAAGCTAATGACTTCTTAGATTGATCGTGGTTGATCTGCCTCACTGAACTTGAGTGCCAGTGACTTCTCTAGCAGTTATTTTTTCGGTCGTCTTTGTGGAAGAATTTAGGCATCTGAAAAAGTACAGGCCACTGCTTGTTTGGTCAAAGCTGGTGCACTATTTCTGTCTTAGAATAGCTGTGAAACTGCAAGTGTATAAGCTTGGTCACAGATAGAAAAAATGGGTTCTATTATCTGTTCCCTTACCCTGCCTTTAATGAATTCCCCAAGGGATTTCAGGTGGATGAATTATTTTTCTAATGGGTGCAGATTTCACTCTACCGGCAGCCACATTTCTGTAGTTACCAGTATATCAGTTGTCTCACCCTGATATCAGATCCCCTCTATTTCTTAGAAGAGTGGCAATGTGTGCTTATGGTTTCTAGGCTGCAGTGGCTTGCTGTTACGTACTAACACAATCTACCGTTTATGAGATTTCTTGTTCTGCTCTTTCAGATACCGCATTATGACCCAGTGCTGGCAGCACCAGCCAGAAGACAGGCCAAACTTTGCCATAATCTTGGAGAGGATCGAGTACTGCACTCAGGTATCTGTGTTCATTCATCTTCCTTAAGGTGGGTGAGGATGTTTCTAGTTGACGAGCAGTTTGGCAAGACAGAGTGTGAGATGTGGAGGTGGCACTGCATTTCTCCAGTCAGCAGTCCAGAGGGACTGATGCCATAGGCTTGCACGGCTCTAGAAATAGCAGACCAAATAGCTCTGCTTACACTTATGAAGGCACAGCTGACTAACAAGTAAAAAAGACAGGCCAGCACCTACATATACTTCACATGCTTCATGTCAGCTGCTTCGTCCTAATGTTTACTCTCAAGACATGGTCAACACTGAGCAGAAATGGACCTGGCTTGGAGCACCTTTTCCAAGTGGGCAGCTGTGGGCAATTTTTTGACTCTTACTGCATTGGAGAAGGCAGATAGAGGCTGCCATTATGAGTGGGATTCCATGGCTAGGCAGCAGAGAAAGGGTATGTCTGGTTTTCCATCCTGAAATGCGAGCTTTCCCAATTTTTGTTTTAACCACCATTTTTAGTTCATACGGAGTGCAGTAGTTTGGAAAATGTTTTGCTGCCTGCCTTGGTGTATGCAATTATTTGCCTCAGACAGCTTTCTTTCCCTCAATATTTGGGAGCCTTGATCAGTTTTTCATGAGAGTTTGGATCCTGGGATTGGAAGGCACTGTTTTCTGTTATCTGCAGATTGCCTTGGTGTCTGGTAGTAGCTATGTGTTGCCTAGATCACCACGTTTTCTCCTTTTAATTTTCAAAATTGCTTAAATTGTTCAAAACCTCTCTCTCTGTGGATTTGGGCTTTGAGGAGTCTGCTAGTATTGCCTTCTATATGCCTTCCCTGTTAAGTGGAGGCAATACTTTCATGACTAAAACTTTCTCAATATTATCTGAGAACGTTATAAACTTTGAGATGATACAGCTTGCAAAACAACATTCCCACAGGAAATTTGGCTGGACATAAAAAAAAAAAAAAAAAAAAAAAAAAAGCAACCCTAGAACTTCACACAGAAGAGCAGAGAGCACAAAAACAATTTTTTTTTTTTTTTTTTTTTTTTTTTTTTCTGAGAGTTCAATGAGTTTTATGGGTATCTCATTGCCTCTCATGGCTAACTGTATTTTGTCAGCATCCTTTACATGCGGGATATGGTCTCTAGCTGATGGGAAAGATGCTTTCTGATCACACCATGACCATGGTCAGATATCTCAGTTTTTTAGTTGAGTACAAGTGTGCATTATGGCAGCAGACTTGGAAGAATTCTCATTCTTCTCTCCTGCAGGACCCAGATGTCATCAACACTGCTTTGCCAGTAGAATATGGCCCATCAGTTGAAGAGGAAGAGAAGGTAGCGATACGCCCAGAAGATCCAGAAGGAATCCCTCCTCTCTTGGTTTCCTCGCACCAAGACAGAAAGGATGAGAAGCAAACCCTGCCATCTCCACCACCCCTGCCATCAGCCATAACTGCAGGAAAAGCTCTAGGGAAAGCAGGATCCTTGGAGCCATCAGTCCCTGGGAAGGTGCAGGCAGCCTCAGGTGGGGGACATATCAACATGGCCTACGCCCAGTCCAACCCCCCTTCTGAGCTGCATAAAGGCCGGGGCTCCAGAAACAAGCCTACCAACCTCTGGAATCCAACCTATGGTTCCTGGTTTGCTGAGAAGCAGGCCAGCAAAAACAAACCTCTGCTGGAGAAAGAGATGCCTGAGAGGAAGAACTTAGGACACGAAGGAAACTGTACTGTGGGGCCCAACATAGTGACTGGCAGGCTACCAGGCTCCTCCCTGCTATTAGAGCCATCTTCCCTAACAGCAAGCGTTAAAGAAGTGCCTCTCTTTAGGCTCCGTCACTTCCCCTGTGGGAATGTCAACTATGGATACCAACAGCAGGGCTTGCCTTTGGAAGCCTCCACGCCACCCTGTGCTAGCAGTTATGAGGACCCCACCCTTAGAAACAAGAACCACATATCCCAGCAGGGGCCTTGAGAGCCCTCTACCCTCTTGACTTTCCCCCCTGTAGTCCCAAGCCTTGAAGAAATATCCTGTTACCCAGTACACCACGAGCAAGTGATGTGACGGCATTACCTTCTATTTCTGCCAACTTGCTCTAGAAGTGCCACCTTCGAACCTGTAATTTCAAATAATCCAAGAGGCTTCAAATCACCAGAGCCCCAGTACAGTAAAATAAACGAGGAGGAGGGAGGGGAGGGTACAGGAAACAAATGTTAACTGCAAGGCCCAGCTTCCTGTTGCATTAACTCATCTGCATGGTTGTTGTCATGCCTTTCCTGTGAGCTTTTCTCAGTTCTGCGTTCTCTGCTTAAGCGTAAAGCCACGGCTTGCTGCCTTGGGTGTTTCACGTCTGGGATTTTCCATGCCAAACTTGTGGTTGCTGAGGAACACTTGGAGAGCACCTGCAACTGGCAGAGACCAGAGCAGGTTTGGGGAAAGCGTCCTTTGTCCAAACTGAAAAAGGAGATGACAACTTTGAATGGTGACGCAATGGTACGTTCCCAAGTTGTGTTCCAGCGCCAGTCTTGTCTTTGAAAGTCCTTGAATGCACAGCAGTTATGGTGTCACTGGCAGGGCAATAGGAAGACTGGTCAGATTATATCACTTGCAAGAGACAGCAGGAAGCACAGAGGATGGGTTCTGGCTTGGAGCAGGGGTGTTGTTTCTGTTTGTGTGTTTTTTGTTGTTTGTTTTCTCTCCTGTGCTTAAATACTAAAATGGAGTAAAACCCATCAAATTCCTTCTGTTCTACAAATGAATGTCCTTCATCACAAACTTGTGCGTGTCAAGTGCAACCAAAGTGAAGCTTTAAAGGACCATGGTTATGAGAGAAACTTTAACTAACTGTGCCCTGAAGATGGACTGCCACCTGCGTAGCTCAGAGGTTTAAAGTAACCTTCAACATACCCTGTACAAGCAAGAACGAGATAAAGGCAGAAGATGACATCGTGCCACAATCTAGATACCAGATACTGTCTGTAATTGAAGGGCTAAGAGCCCTTGTTTCTTTAACAAAATATGTGTATGATAGTGGTTTAAAAACAAGCACTGCATTGACTCATTTTGTACACCTTGTGCATGACAAATATTCCAGTAAGTGTACTGTCAAACCATAGACGTAGGCAATTATTCATGTGTAAAGATATGCATTAGTAACTTCAACTTACGGTTGTAAGGAGCTGTTTTAACTCAGTGCAGTCTGAAAAGGAGGTGCCTATCTCCATAGAAAGGAGTCTCCTGAAGCATCAGCAGAGGACAATGGAGGTGTTCTTCAGTCCAAGAAGTTTCATTTCAGTGAAGTGATTCAGAATCTGGCCCTGGCTCCAAACACCGAGGTAAGTCAGCTTCCTGTCTGCTTAAGGAAATGCTATTATTCACATATAAGAGCAGTCTTCATTTAAACGTTCTTGCTTTCTCATTTTTGAATGGCTTGAAGCTCCTTGTTGTTTTCTCTAGCTCATCTTTGCATAGGAGCACACAGAGTGCTTCACTCTCTTGTGTGTTGCCAAGGAGCAAGCCTGCTCTGTGTGTTGATGAGCATTATAAAAGAATACACAAGACCAAAGTTGCAAAGTAGGCAGCAGCTGTGCTCGTTTGGGCTTATTTTAATGTAAAAAGCTTTCCTTAATAATGCCTGATTTCCTCTGTCAAGAAAGTAATGATTCCCACCTGAGCAATACTGATTACTGTCCCACCTTCAATTAGCTGGGGCTGTGACAGGAGCCACCCAACAGTCCTGCCTCACTGCTGCACTTCTCCTGCAGTTGTGCCCTGGGTAAAGAATTACTTGCAGGAGTTTATGCAGAGCTGGGGAAAGGAATTAAGAGGTTTTTCTATGTGCTGTCCAGAACAACTCCAGAAACTTGGCTCAGTGCTTTGAGGTTAAATTAGCAGATGATTTTTTAGAGGTGTGATTAATATAGAGACTATGTGTGCGTCTAAAGAGCTGAGTAATTACTTGTCATAGTTGTCAGTGATGAGTTGATGTCTTTCTGTACAAGGTCTTTAATAGCATTTTCTTCAGCATTTCTGACACAAGTAGTAGTCAGTGTTGGTATCTGTGTTCCAGTTTCTACCAGTTTCATTCCAGCAAATTTCTTTTATGTGTACACCATTAAACATTTTGTCCAGTTAGGAACTGTGAACTTTTAATCTTTCAGGAGAGATGCACCTGTCCAGATCTGAAGCCCTAGAAGGGACTTAGGCCACTGTAAGCTTACTTGCCCAAAGAGCATGTAAATCCCAGATCCTTTATTAAGCCCTTCACACAAGGCTTAGAGTGTCAGAAGAGAAAAAGCTGAAGTTATTCCAAATCTCTTGCAAGTTTTTGTCTATCGCTTTTCTCTTTTTTTTTCTTTAAACATTGGTTTAATTTTTTTGAGCTAGATAATGCAAATTTTTAAAGTGGAACAACTTGCTTTCAGACTGTTTCTCTTCTTCATTGGCAATATCTACATTCCTATCTTACGTGTTTTTCCCGCTCTGCAGTGGAAAAGCAGGAAGCAATATGATCTCCAGGATGAATGGGAAAACGCTGCGTCACCACTCTCACGCTCTGAAAAGTACTTATTTCCCTGTGGATGTTATCGGTGTCCTATACACATTAGGTAGGTTTTCTGATCCAGTGCTGATCTGTAAGCTGCTGAAGGTCAAGCAGATTGATTGGGCTCTTTATCTGCCTTTGTTGTTGTATTTCCACCTTTGGTTTTGCTACTGACCCTTGTTTCTCCTTTGTGCCTGGAAATGAAGCAAGGCATTGAGGTGGTTCTGCTTCCAGAGGGGTGGAGGATGGAGTGGTGGTGGGAGAGGGTATGCAGAGGTATCTTAGGACCAGCTGACTGGCTCCCCTCCGGGCATGCTCACACCAGGTGAGAAGTCTGTGCTAGGCCATGAAGGATTCAACTGTGCATGTTTGCTCCTCTTACTGAGCCTGTCTGCTTGGTGACAAGAACCTTGATGTAGGTATAGCATAGAACTGTCTCTCTCAGCTGTAAAGACATCACAAAGCATCTGTCCAAAAGTTAAACCTGTCATGAGAACTGTCTGAACTGTCTGCATCTGGCTTCTTTTAGTAACAGAGCTTCATTAGAGGAATGTCTGTCTCACGTACAGTTTATGCAACACTGTTTATAAAGGAAGGGCCTGTGCACTTCAGGGATACTATGAAGAAGAATGCTAATATATGGTCATTGAGTATTTTGTATTGAATAGTGTCTTTGTATTGTAAACAAGTGTAGTGAACCAAAAGGCATGAAGACCAATAAAATGGCTGTAACTGACTCCCTGCGTGCTGGGTTCTGTAGCGACCGCACCACCCTCAGAGCACTGCTGCTGGCAATCCTCTATGACAGAGCTAGGAGACATCTGAACTTCCAGGTAGTATTCCATAGCTGTTGTTTCACACCGTACCTGCCTGTGTAATTTGTACATAGGAATAGAAGTAAAAGGGGATGTATGTGCTGTATAAATCTCAGGAAGCTTCTCTCTCCCGTACTATTCACCGGGCTTTCATTTTACTAAGACACCAAGAAACAGATGTTGAACAAAGTCATGTTCAGGACATCACTGAGTTTGGTACATTTTCAAATATAAAGCAATGATTTTTTTTTTCACATTCAAAATTTACAACTTTTATATTCAATTAAAAACACCCCATAAGCTAGAGTACAATATGCAGTATTTTAAATAGAGTCAAGAAAAAATAGCTACAGTAGTATTTAAAATAACATAATAGCAGCAGAATTCTGTCTAAAAATAGGATACTAACTTCATTTAAAGTGTCTCTTCTTTCAAGTAGGTAAAAGCAAGCAGATCATTTAAGTATAAGATGATCATCTGGAACACAGAACCACCCCAATAATAGTGAGATAAAGGTGAGCAATTAAAACACATTTCATGTTTAAAACATGGACAAGTACAAGCTGTTTTTAAAAGAGGCTGATTTGCAAGTGATGTCACATCAACTTATGTTACAATGCTGTATGTAAAATTATCATTAATTTATCCTAAGACTCTTAGAAGAAATTTATACTGGAAACCGTACCAAAGAAAACAAAAAGAAACAGAAATAATTGAAGTGTTAGTAGCTTGCTTGAAAACCTAGCCCATAACTCATACTGCTGGCTGGGATGGCCATGCTGTATTTGTACAGACTGCTGGACAGTTATGTTGCGTAGCTCCTCTCAGGGTTTATGTGCATTTAAAAACTACGATACCCATTGCCTGCAGCACACCAAACCTTTATAAATGAGGGAGAGTTCTCCATGAGAGTGCAAAGTGCATCATTTTAAGGAGTGCTTTGTATATATACAATACATTTACTGCCTGACATGCACTACGTTTGTGCTTTTTACTTATTTGCTGTTTGCTTGGATCACTGCAAATACCTGCGTTAAATTATTTATCAGCCCTTTTGGATTCAGGAGAAGATAATGGCAGGGGAAAAAGAAGAGGAGGGATCTGATGATAAAATGTAGAAATATCTCACAACTGCTTGGAAAAAAAAAAGGGTTTTTTTTTTATTGCTAGCAGCTGGTATTGAAATTGACATAGTGCCTGGTGAACAGACTAATTCACTCATTAACCACCCCCTCTGTTCAAAAGCAGGCAATGCACAAAGCATTATCAGTTCTTTACTACACAGAGGAAAATCACTGAAATACTGCATGAATCAGAAAGCAAATCTAGAGAACTTTAGGAGTACTCGTTCTCCAGCTGGAGCATGATTCATATAACACAGCATCTCAAAGCCAAGATGCTTTTGGAATTATCTTCCCAGGTAAGAGCTGTTTCATTACGAGAAACAGAGCAGTGGTTTGACTTCTTAATGTCACGAAACTTTTGTTTGTTTATATATGTCTCTATATACTTAGTGTGTGTATATATATATTAATACAAATATATATTATTATATATATCTATCTATACATAAAATATAAATGCAGGTTTGATAATTTAAAAATAAGTTGGCATTCTGTATGGGGATCCTGTGTGCTTTAAAAGTTTCCTAGCATCTGAGCATCTTTTGGCTCAGCAGATATCATCCACGAGTTTTGCCCCATTGATCCCCCGGTAGGTTACTCTGCTAGGTCGAACCAAGACCCCATGGTTTTGCTTGCAGGTGAAGTAACGCTTCTCCCCCACAGAGCCATCATTCTTTCCCTTGGCACTTCGCAGCTCAAGGCCAAGCCATATCCCTGGTGCAAAGTCTGTCAGACCAATGTACCTGATGGTGCCCATTTCATTGGAGCTGGTCAGAAGAACCTGCGAGCCTTCGTGCAGCTTCACCAGTCCCTCTGTGGTAGCTGTGCTGGGGTGGCTCCAGCTGTGCCGTGACACAGAACTCTTGGATCTAGTTTAAAAAATAGGGGGAAACAAGAGTCAGTGTCTTTCTATAAAACATCCAAGGCATATTTCTAACTTAGCACAGTGCATGAGAAAACTGGGTTTGAGCTCATATTACTAGCAAAACATATAATAACTTCAGTGTGTTACAACAGAGGGCAGTCTGAAATACTTGGAAAATCCATTTGCTTTCACTTGATGCCAGGAATTGTGATGTTCGTGATAGGTGGTACAGTAGGCAGAACAAAGTGCAGTCCTTTACCAAGGCCTGCTGAACTCAAACAGCTGAATGGAAATACAAGAATTTGCAAAATATGCAGCGATGAGCAGTTGGAAAACCATTTTGATGCCACCTTGAATCCAAGGACTGTATCTTAGGATACCCACAGAAAAAACAGTAGGCTGCTGCTTAATTTTGGAGGAAAAAGAGTGGGTGTATACAATAACATCTAGCACTTCATGAGCACAAAGATTTTCTTTGCAGCAAGAAGCAGTAAAGCTATCAGCCAGCTCACCCAAACATCTTAAAACCAAAATACTCACCTAGCGAAGGAGTTTCTTCTGCCTATCTCTCTTTGTGAAGATGCAGAAGTTGTGCTTAAACTGCGTCTAAAACCTAAATGAGAAAGTTAATGAGCTATGTGGGATTTACAAAGGTTTTTGTTTATGAGTCCCTTATCTCTGCATTTTCTTTTATACTGCTCCCACTATCTTTGCTACACATTCTCCCTTCCAGTTTGGAAACTGATGAAATTTCTCATGAACGTGTCTATAGCATGTTTTATATGTTCTGAAACAAAAGAAATTAAATAAAACAAACTGAAAAGGAGTAACTGGAAGCAGGCTTTTCACAAAATAACCTTGGGTTCCTTGAAAACCTCATGTGCTTTCAGAGCTGTGACCTTAGTGCTGCAGGTTATAATTAAGGAATGATAGCCTACAGCGGGCTACATAAGCTACATGGTAAATTACAGCATCTTACCCACCTACCTGGAAAAGTGTGATTTATCTTACTCGAAGTCTCTGCAAGAGAATCCATTGAACCTGTTAATCTGAAAAGCAATAACACAACAAAGACACCGTTTCAACTCAATTTTTAGTAAAAACTACTGCTGCGTACTTCTTGTCAAACATTGCTTAAGTTCTAATTGTTTACCTTCCCCCACCCCACCCAAAACACACTACCACCTTGGTGTAAGAAGGCTGGTATGTAAGAGATGCATGTGGTTAACGAGTATACTCAAGTTATTTTATTCAGAGCATTTATCATTTAGCAGTGATGTTATCCCAAATTCTTGGGACTTCCATACAGTTAGCTGGAATGACAATAGCATTTCCAGTCACATCCAAATGCAACTTCCTTTCAGAACTGAACTTTGCTCAGAGCATCAGGACTAGGTCAGAAAGGTAAGGACTGACTGTCCTGGAGATGGAGGCCAAGAAATGAAAATACTTGAAGTGGCAGTGAGAGAAATGAGGGAGCACCATTTCCAATTTATATTCTGCTTTCAGGAAGCTGATCTAAAAATGGGATTTTTTTAATGGAAGCTACAGGCTTCCACTAGAAGAAGAAAACAAAGATTATTTCTTCCATATCTGCTCATATCTACTTCAAAACTGTTTTCCATGGGAAACATACTAAGAAAGCACTTGACAACAAAAACATTACACCTGCTTCAGTGCTTACCTCTGAACTCGAGAAGGAGGTGCAAATATTCCATAGCGAGGAAGGCAGCTGAAGTACTGGACACCGCCCACGGAGCCATCGTTCTTACCATGAGGCTTGTCCAGTTCAATTCCACACCAGAATCCTACCAGGTTTTAAAACAGCCCAAAGACACCTGTTACCAAAACACTACAGGCCTTCCTTTGTCTAGACACTTGGTATTCATTTGCACTAAGGAAACAGAAACTGTCTAGATAGGTAATAACGATAAACTGGTATAGATCTAAAAATACATAATACAAAATAACTATGCAAAAAGCTGTATTAGAATAAGTCTCTCAGCATTTTCATATGCTTTCAGAAAAAATGTTATTTTACTTAATATAGAGAGAGTAAAACATTTGGTGTGTACACTGAAGTTGAATGGAACGTTATCAAATGTAACAGTGGCTACTTGGACAACAGAGACATAAAAGAACAGCAGTAGATGTTCAAGTTTCCCTCCTCAGCCCGCTGATCACATGCTTTCATCTGAGATCATCAGCACTAAAATTTCAGTTCTGATAATAATTTCTTCCTTCTCTCCATCTATCAAGTTCTAATTAATACAAATTTCAAGGCTGATGGTATGACACAGAGAGAAGGGCGTGATTCAGAACTGGCCAGCAGAACACTGAGCAGGCATTAGGACATTAATAAGCCTGATCATTCGTAACGAGTGATAAATGTGAGCTAATTATGTAAATGCACTAAATTTCATACTCCATTAGCAGGCCTTATGCTATCCATCCCCAAAAGACTCAAGAATTTAATTCAAGTCACTTGGTACTAAGGCTTTGGATAAAATGCTAATTCTAATTATCAGCTCACGGAGCACAGGAATGACAACTCATGAATTAGAAGGTCTCAATTTGTCAGATATTCTCCCATTCCTGCTTCCAGACATAAAGATCTGCATTGCAGCAAAAAGAATAGGAAATGGAGAGTATTGATGTCATCAAATGCCAAAACAAATATTGCTGATTATGTATCAATCCAACAGGCTTTGGTACTTAGACCAATATGTACTGCTTTTGCATTAATCTTGCAATAGATTACAATTATTCCTTTATATATATATTACTATCTTATTATATACACTTACTATGTTATGTCCAGTGAAACATAATACAAAACAGCACTTGACATTTGAAGTATTTTGGAGGGAGCAAAGATGAAGTTCTTAATGTCCCTGTTCTCACGTGCAACCTATTCCAAACAATTCTGCAACATACACAAAGAGTACTGCAATTACCTGGTGCAAATTTTGTCGTCCCACAAAACCTAACAGTGCCTGTCCTCTGTCCTACTACCAGTACTCTGTCTCCAACCTGAATTCCTCTCTCATCATAAGGGGTTTTCCTTGGAGCTGGAGAAGAACTGTACAACCCTGTTAACAGAACAAGATTTAGCATTGTTAGCTTAACATCTTTAAGAAATTCTTCAGAGGTAGCAAACCAGCGGATTGGTCAAAGGTCTATCTTTACCATAGTGTATTATTTTAAACACATGGGAATACATACAGATTTTGCCTATAGAATTGCTTTGCCCCAGCATGAAACTCTTCTCAGCAGCTGAAAGCCACAGTGGCAAACAAGAGTAACATTTTTTCTGCTTGAAGATGTTCTAGAAAACTTTTAAGAAGTTGCAAAGCTTAAATGTAGAGATGAACTACTTCCCAAGGGCCTCTCCTTAACCTTCTCCAATTCTGAAACCGCACATTTAAGTTCTACATAAGTATTCAATACAACAGTAACATTCCTTCCCATTTAACAGAGAAACGGACCGTACCAGCACTAATTCTAGATGAAGCAGAAGACACTCTAGTCAGTGGCTTTTTATTGCTGCCAGTTGAGTTCCGCTTCTTAGCGTAATTCTGCTTGCCTTCTAAGGAGGTAGTAGAAGAGGAAGAGCTGCTGTATTCAGGAAAACCTTGAAGAGACAAATAGATAGAAATAGTTTTTCAGAGATGATATTTGGAAAAGAACAGAGTAAGCAGAAGGGAAAGCTTCTAAGAGTAGTTATTTGTTGTCCATCCAGTGGGCAGAATACAAAGTGAAGAGTCAAAAGTAGAGGGCTTTTTAGTAGTAGCTGTTACACAATCACCTATGAGGAATGACATAGGTATATCTGATCCTCCCTTGGCAGAAAGGTGCTAGTTTAGTGGTGAAGGAGGTTTCCAAAGGGCTCTTCTTTCTTACTCTACCGAAGTTCTTGCAGACAGCCTCAAGCAGATTTACTGTAGTATGGAAGTGTCAATAAGTGACCATATCACCCTTCCTCCAGCATCCTGCCTATTAAAGGCTTGATGAGAAGCATAAGGAAGGTGATACCACATGAATGAATTATTATCTGGATTAAAGCCTACTCTATCCCATTCCATACTATATTAATATTAAAGTCTGCTCTATAAAATAAGAATGGGACATAAATCACTTTTTATATCCATTTGCAAACCTTGACATCTAAGCTGTCTGGTAAGACTTATGCTCAGCTTTCATCCCACACTTTCAAGACTCTCCCTCTGTTCTCTCCTGTCCCTACTACCTTCTGCACAAAGTGAGGCACCCTACAGCTCATCTATGCTTCAATTTATCAATATCATAAATTAAGATAATCCTGCGTATCAAACGCTGCAGAAAGTTGAGAGGCCTACTACAATCTTTTTTGCAACACACCTCAAGATCAACATGGCATTACTGTATTCAATAAGATTTAATCCTTCTATCTGGCAAAAACATTAAGAATTGCAGAAAGACAAACACAGGGGGATGGATCAAAACAAAAGCTTTGGTACCTATGGGCAGAGGACAGAAGTCTGGGGACTC